GTTTTGATCGACACAAAATATATCATCTTTTGATTGACCGAAACTATCTCTATTTCATATAATCATCTCTATCTCATAATTCGTTTCACGCGACGCTATCTACACTCAATGCATTCTTAAGTCGCACCGCAATTTTTTAAACTCAGAAGCATCTAAGAGCAGCGTGAAGAAGGCAGAGGAAGATGGATGAAAATGAAGTTCCCTTCTCTGAAGTTACAACCACAAGAAGTGGCTTTAAAGTATCGTTACACGACACAGCGTGATACACACTGTGAGAGACAATGCTTCTTTATTATGCACATCCACAGGTTCTTAAGCTGACACGACGTAAGACTAAATAAGTCTTAGATTTTTCTTTGTCCATAACTTTGCCATTAAACAGTATTACCTAGATTTTAAAAAATAACAGTAATAACAATGCATAAGTTAATTTTTTTTAAATAAATATTTAACTTAATTGTACTCCGCATTAATACTTTCGGTACTCAAATTACAATGCGCGTAAATATTTTTAAATAATTATAATTAATAAATATTATCCATCAAAAATCTTCAATACATTACGTGATATACAAAAAATACATAGAGAAATATTATTACGAGGTTATAATGATTCCTTATACCAGAAAAATCAATCATGTAATGTGTAGATAAAAAGATATAAGACCGAAAACGAATGTCCGTGCATTGAAAGGAATTAGTCGGGTTAACGCGTTCCACTCGAATCTACGAAATCGAAAGATGATTTATGGATTGACTTAATGTCTTTCTTCGAAAACCGTTAAAGATAGTTTCTAGGAGCTATCCGTTGTAAAGCCAGGAGAGAACAAGCCATGAAATGTTCACGAATATATGGCAAAGGTTTTAAATCTGTTATAATGTTAGATTGCAGGATAGAGATCAATTTTCTTATATACATTTTAATCGTTTTTTCTTCACTTTAAATCTTGTTCAATAATCTTGTGTCATAAGTTCTAAACTTGTTTTCAAGCTTCTCTATCATATTATGGAAAAAAAAATGTACCAAATTAATTTAAAAAAATGAAGATGACCTTGATATTTCCGAAGCGCCTCCACCTGGACAAAAATTACTATTGCTATATGATAGCCCTCTTTGTACCGTACAATTTTGGTTACACTAATTTTTCTCTGGGTCTTATAGATTCGAATATATTTAAGGTGGTAATAGTTATTGCCTCACCCTGTATAATAAAGCAAAATTTTGCAGTGATTATTTTACGTAATTTCTCTCTCTCTCTCTCTCTCTCTCTCTTTGGATCAATATCATATACTTAACTCGATCACTTCTGTGAAATATTCATTAAACCAGTAAATTAATTAATTAATCGTTTCAAGTTTTTTTTAACATTAATATATCTTATTGTAATATTAATAATTTAAATAAAATAAATCTCATAAATCGTGCACCGCTTATATTTCTAATCGATATGAATTCGAATATATATCGTTAATAAGAGACTGTTATAATGACTTTCTGACTTAATTATAATGTTGGTTGGTTTGAAAAACATTCTTATATCTTTATTACTTCATTTTACAAATCTCTGTAATGTTCTAACTCATATTTGGCAGATTATGTACATATGTCGTTAATTTATATAAAAGTGGAAGAAAGAGAGAAAGAGAGAAAAGAAGAAAGAGACGAGAGAGAGAGAGAGAGAGAAAGAGAGCCGTAATAAATTCCGCGTTTATGCAAATAAATAGATCGCTAACAGACTCTATAATGCTTTTATTTATATAAACAGTGGACTTACGCCGTATTTTACTTTATTGTGCCAATTACATTTATAGTGTATAAAAAAAGTATATATTAACATGTTTCTTGACAGAAGATAAAGAAATAGATATAACGTTACGTTTGAAATGTAGTTTTAGAGATGTCATTCTTTGACGTTCTTGTCATATAACAAGATTGACATAATATTATCGTGTATATTTAATTACCATTCCTTTTTTGTTTTATTTAAAAGAAATAACTAACATTCAAAACTTAACTACGGTTAATTCACGGCGAGTCTGTTTTAGCTCAAAACCCGGCAAGTTCCCGGATCACTGCCAAATCACGCAGATCAAATTGTCGGGAACACCTTTGTCCACCGAAATTGTCGTCATTGTTACAAACATCATCTCGATTCGGTCCTCAGCAAGGTTCTCGGCAAGCTTCCGCTCCCACGAGTGTCACATAAAGGTCGAAAAGAACCTGCTTGAGCGAATCTCATCAGTACGAATGCCGGCAATAACGAAGACTTCTTCGTCGAGTAACTGGATCGTCCCCTTCGGATCAATATAATCGATATCTACGTGACCATGCTTCTCCTGAAAATTCCAGTCACTAAGAATGGAACGAAACTCTTGGTAAATATCTTCAAGACTCGAAACTTTAAAACTATATTGTTATAAAAGCGGAATGACATTGTTTCAGTCAGAAAATAAAGTTTATATTTTCTTGTCATTATTACCATTTCATGTCCCTTCATGTGAAGAATTAAATTAATATTCTCTTCCTAATTTAGAATATTTTTAATTCAATAAAACGATTTTTAATGAAATGATTTACTATTATAGATAATGTATTAAAATGTTTAAAAAATGATTCCAGCAATGTATATGCTGTATATATATATATATATATATATATATATATATATATTTATATATTAATATATAAAAAGAATCTTGGAAAGTAGTAAGATTATTATAGAATTATCATAAATATTAAGCTCTATAGCAAGTGCCAAGTAATTAAAGTTTATATTCGCCTTTAATCTCTTTTCCAGTCGCATGTATTTTCACTAATATACATTCTGTCAACGATATAAACTGCTAGAATGACGCATGGACATCCTATTGATTGAATATTATACGTAAGTACCCGGATTGGTCCCACTACTATTTGCAGAGGTGGAGGACCACTCGGACGCTCCATATACGAAGGATTCCAGCGAATTGGGAGGCTATTGAGTGCGGCCGAGTGGACGAATGTAATGTACAGCCCACACACGCCTTTCACGAGTGCCCATACCAGAAGGGTCGTTCAGGAATACCCAACCCTTTATCGTTATTGCACGTCCGGGGTGGCGCGCGGAGATCGCTTGTAGGTGGCACGTTTGCCGCGTGTTTCCCGGCCGTTCGTCATTTTTAGTGGTCGTCCCTCGGTCGTTGAGGTATTAAATTATATTTCATCGGTGTGATTAACGGTTCCGAGATGTATTATTAAAGGACAGGACTCGGCAGGACATGGAATCCTTGCTGGACAAGACGTTCCGCCCTTGCTCCTTCACCAATGCTCGTTCGAGATATTTCTTTCCGTTCGGATCATATATACTTATAGCTCTCTGTCTCTCGATAGAATAGTGAGTGGATGAAAAATTTGTTGTTTGCTTACCAAAATAGATGTTATTCAACAAATTTAGTTTTATTTCTAAGCGAAAGAGAGATATTATCGTTTAGTAATTGTATTCAAAATTAACTTACTGCATGTATTATAACATAATATGATACGTTAGTTTCTTAGAAACAGGTCAAACAACAAATATCACATAAAAGGCCTATTTAAAAAAATTTCGAACTTTGGCTTTATAAGTTTTGAAAGTTTACTTACTACTTATTCAGTCTTGTCTCTCTCGAAATATGTTCCTTCTCGGTTGATACACCACTCCTATTGCCGTTTCCACTTCTGGAAACAATCCTGGCACGCGATTTTTAGGATTGCGAGTAAATCCGAACATATTTCGAAGAAAACAAGACTGAATAAGTTGTAAGCAAAAAATTATAAAGACAGTTCAAAATCTTTTTGGACAGACCACATATTTATAAAATAAAAAAAACAAGAACTTAAAAATTAACTAGTAAAAAAAGTTAGTTTAAAAAAAATAGACTCCCGACTGCAGCCTAAAGTAAGTTAAATAATAATAAAAAACAAATAAAGTTAAAAAAATAAATGATAAAAAAAACAGGTAGAAAAAATTCAAATTAATAAATAAAAAAACAGGTTTAAAAAGTTTAAAATAATAAAAAATATGAAAAAGTAAAATTTTCTAAAAATGTAATATATATTATATAATAAAATATACTTTTTACTTTTATGTTATAATTAATTGCACATTTAAAAAAAGCAATCGGGAGACGCTCTATCACCAAATCTAATCATATTTCCTATTTTACGATATTAATATTAAATATATACGCGCGCGCGCGCGTGTGTGTTTGTGTATGTATATATGTACGAATAATAAAATAAGTATAATACCTATATGTGTAATAAGTATAAAAATTTGGCGTGGTGTCTCCCGACATCTTTTTTTAAATGTACAGTTAATTATAGCGAAAAAATAAAAAAAGTATTTTATGCAACACGTGCATAGAAAGTGCCCCATTACGCACGCTACGCGTGCGTGATAGACCACTTTCCAGGCACTTGCAACATAAAATAGGGAGTGTAAGTCGTGTTACGACACTTGTTACACAAATAACTATTTTATTATGTACATATATATATGTATATATATATATATATATATAAGTAATAAATATATATATATATATATATTTATTTATTTATTTATTTATTTATTTTTTACTGAAATTCTATCTTATGACGGCCTTGGATGTTAAATTTAATATATACATATAATACATGTAATTATATAAGCGTAACAAGCACATGATGAATTAATGTCAATTATTTAATTATCAGAAATTTTTTGTATTAAAATTTAGTTTATATGGAAATATAAGATAAACTTTTTTAAAATAAAATTATAATAATGAATGACTTTTGATAGAAGTCAAGAATCTGTTGTTGTGCGCATTTAATCGCACAGCTTATCTTGTGTGATTTCCGATACAACAAGTATCATCGCATCGCAATGATACCGAGTCCAAGAAGCGTTTCTCCCCCTTCCTATCTCGGTTTTCTTACGTATATAGATACATACATGCGTAGAATGCGCTACACGTACGGCTGACGTACGTATTTATAACGTCTTACGTCGCGTCCGACGAAGCATCTCGTTAGTCTGTTATCTCATCGCATCACGATGGTTTCGACCTTCGTCTTGTTGCTGACTACTCTAGTCGTCATCGGCGTTCTGAAAATTCTTTCTGTGCTGCATCACGCGTATTTTTACTGGAGGAATAAGGGCCTACCTTACCTGCCAAATTCGATATCGTCTTTTATAACAGTTTGGAAAGTGTTTGCGGGCTATATCCCATTAGCCGATTATTGCCAATACATATACCGTTCCTTCCCAAACGCTAAATATGTTGGAGGAGTGGATTTTTTTACGCCTGCCATATTTTTGCGCGATCCTGAGCTGATTAGAGACATCATGGTGAAAGATTTTGAACATTTTCCGGATCATCGCATCTTCGTTGACGAAAGCGTAGAACCGCTGTTTGGCAAAAACGTCTTCTCCTTGCGCGGAGATCGTTGGAAAGACATGAGGACTACGCTAAGTCCCTCTTTCACCGCCAGCAAAATGAAGTTCATGTTCGATTTGATATCGAAATGTTCTCACGATTTCGTCAATTATCTGGTCGACCATCCGGAGCTCTGTCAGGAGGTCGACACAAAGGCAGCCTTCAGACGATACACCAATGACGTAATTGCTACGGCAGCCTTTGGCATAAGTGTGAATTCTATGAAAGATCGGAACAATGAGTTCTATACAAGAGGAATAGAGGCTACCACGTTTACTTCCGGACTACTAACGCTTGTTAAGTTTATATTTTTACGCGTGTGTCCACGGTTGGCTAAATTAATAGGTTTATCTTTTTTCCCGTCGGCCACGTCCAAGTTTTTTAAGAAGATCGTAGGGGAAACCATTAGAGAGCGAGAAATACAAGATATCGTCAGACCAGATATGATTCATTTGCTAATGCAGGCTCGGGACAAAGAAGGTGCCAGTGTACCGAAAATGACATTGGACGACATCGTTTCGCAAGCTTTCATCTTTTTCTTCGCTGGTTTCGATACTTCCTCGACCTTGATGTGTTTCGCAGCTCACGAGCTGGCGGTTAATCAAGATGTTCAGGATCGCCTGCGCGAGGAGATCTTGCAGCATCTTACCAAAGGAAACGATGAGATTTCTTACGAGTCGCTATCGAAAATGTCTTACATGGACATGGTGATTTCCGAAGCTCTCAGAAAGTATCCACCATTTGTCCTCATCGATAGACTTTGCGTTAAGGAATACGAACTACCTCCGTCGCAACCAGGCAGCAAAAAAGTGATCGTCAAACCTAACAACACATTGATGTTTCCCGTTTATGCTATACATCGCGATCCAAAATATTTCCCGAACCCGGATAAGTTCGATCCCGAAAGGTTTAGCGAGGAGAACAAGGACAACATTTTACCATACAGTTATCTACCATTCGGTCATGGGCCTAGAAAGTGTATCGGCAATCGATTTGCTCTTATGGAGACTAAGATTCTGATAGCTCATCTTTTGCAAAAGTTTACTTTAAAAACTGTAGAAAAAACCGTCGAACCAGTTGTACATTATAAAGCGGAGTTTTCGCTGGCCCCTGATGGCGGATTTTGGATTGGCTTGGAAAAGAGAGAAACGTGAAAATCTTGTGCAAAGACATAATTCTATATACGGTATAGTTGTGTTCGTAAAAATATTATCGCATTTTTAACTTGCAAAAGATTCAACGCTTTTAAAGATGATTAAAGTGTACAATAAGATTTATTTGCGCTCTATTATCATCCAATGCACAAATCGAATAATTGGTTTTGCTAAAAGAAAATGAAAAAATTGATAAGCATTGTCAGTAGCTTAAGACTCGCGAATTTACTCGTCGTGTAGATCATTTTTAATGACTTGTATAACTTCGACTTGTCGTCCAATAGCACAGTAGAGGTGATGGGGATACGATATCGTTAATTTTTTATATATAAGAGTAAATAGTTTAATTACGCGACCGTCTATTGCATTTTTTTACTTTTAAGACAATTTCGTTGTTTATTTTAGTTTCAATTACTTTTACTTTTAGTTCAGATTTCTTTGTAATTTTTTGTAAAATTAAGCATTCGACGTTATACATATTATTTTTTAAGAAAATTTAATCGTATCATTAACCATTGGTGCGATATACGCATTATGTACGTATCATATGTGCGCACTTATTTTTTATATTTTAATTATAACATTTTTTATTATCTTTGAAATTGTAATATCTTATATGATACTAAAGTAAAAGTTCTAAAAATGCAGAAAATTATTTTATATTCCTTCAGAAAATAATCAGAGTAAAGAGAGAGAACATTGAATTTTGTATCTATTTGTATCAAAGCGCATTTCTTTCAGTTGTTTCAGTTTACCTCATAATGCTGAAGTTTAATTGTGTTATTGCAAGTTTCTTCTCTATTGACAGTGGTCTTGTTATTGGTAAATTTGTAGATCCGTTACTTATTTATCAATTACTTCTTTGGTCTAATTTAATCATGTTTTTATTGTGTCCTTTGGAAAATGTTGTAAAATATTTTTGTTTGCTTGAGGAGTCAGTTTTAATTAACTTCTGGAAAAAATATATACAGTGGAAAATATAATCACACTGCACAAATTTAAAATATCTTAAAATGATGAAAACGTTTGCTTTTTATTTAATATTATCTTATTTAATAACTATTATTAGTTTAACGTTTAGTAACTTTGTTTATCTGCTATTTTCCTAGTGGCAATTAATACATTTTTTTAATTTAATAATAGAACACACCGTTTATAGATACACTACAATTTTACTAAATAAAACAAAATTGCATGACAAGTAAGTTAATAAAATATTATGATAATAGAGTAACTGGAGAGAATATTTTTTTCTATTTTTCTTTTTCTTTATCTTTGCATACTAGTCTCCTCTTTCCCTCTTTTATCTGTTATTTGTATATGATTTTTTAATAAAATATTTTGATTGTTTACTATCCATTCATAAAAAGAGCCGTGTAAAGCCTGTATCAGACTACGGATTGGGATTGGAGATTAGATTGAAATTTAATCAATCAGAATAGAGAAAACTGATCTCAAGTTTAGTGAACTTTGCTTTATTGTTGACGCTTTTCTGCGATGCTGATTGGTTCTTTCATTGCATTTACTAATTTGTGATGAGCGGCTGTCATTGCATATTTTAACAGTTATGTGTATCAAGGAGTTAATAAAATATAATAGTAACAGTGTAATATTAATTGTTTGCATTTAAGTATTCAATTCGAGTATTTAAAGGTTTAAGTATTTTAGCACTTGCTTTTACGTCGACAAAGACTTCTCTACTTTTCTTGGATGTATTTATTCAAAATTTTATTTTAGATAAGTTTTACAAAACGTTTTTATTAGAATCTTTATTCTTAACTTTTTATAAAGAATGATACTTTGTGTAACATTTTATTTTTAGTAAGTGGCTTTCGTTTTCACCCTATTGACATTACGTATGAAATGTTTTGTGTACAAATGTTTTACGATGACTGATAAGGTTATATCTAGACATCTATCTACGACGATTTAAAGTATTTGGATAGAATTAAGAAAAAGAATAAAATAACGACAAAAAGAAAGAAGGAAGTAAAGAAAAGAATGAAAGAAAAAGAGTATTTCTTAAATCATACTTTGCGTTTTCTGTGTAGTCCTCATTTGTGTCAAATTTTTATTGAAAAGGTTAAGATTACTATTTAATAAGGTAAATGAGTTTGTTATTGTTTAGAGATAAATTAGTATAATTTTTTACGCTATGTCTATTGCTAATTATTTTAATTAACACACTACACATTATAATATTTGTCTTTATGTTAAGTTTTAATTAGCTTGGAAAGGAACAGGATATAAAATTTTGATAATGTACAGAAAGTGAAACTTGCAGTATCGGTAAAAATTAATGAAATTATAAGTCAAAGTAAAAAATATATTTTTTAGTATTTTAAAATAATATATTACAGTCAGATATATATATACAAAATAATGTTGGAAGATAATTAAATTTATGAATTTTGTAATTTTTTTATAAAATATGTAAAGTATAAAATATGAGACAGACAGAGAAAAAGAAAAAGAAGGAAACAGAGAAAAAGAGAAAGAGAAAGAGGAGAGAGGAAGAGAAGGAGGTAACCCTTGAAATAATAATTAAACTTATATTATGCGTAAATCGTCGATGATAAAAGATAGCATGTTTCTTTATAATTTCTTTTCTCCGTGATTAAGGGGATGCTGGAGCCGTCTGTTTTACCGGCATTTTTTGTCGGCACGTAGCGTCGTATTAATTTGACAGAATTAAAAATCCTTCTCCAGAATTGCAGTACATACATTAATGATTTGGGGAAACTCCGATTTTATATAGAAAACGAGAAAAAATTACGGAAGTACAGATTTCCTTATCCTACTCTTATCCCAATATGGCGTCTCGAGTTGCGGCGAGCTGTCAGCTCGTCACAAGATGTATTTCATATAAGAGATATACCATTGGTACGAACGCGAAAACAAGTTTCCCCGAATTGCACAACAAGAAAAACATCGATAAACCCCCCAAATCAAGATTTGGAAGCGTAATATAAAAGTATAATGTCGGTGTGCATCGTGCGTATGTGTGCGTGCAATGTAGCGTGCTATCCTTGTCTATATCTTTGTTTATACAAGGACAGATATAGTTCGCCGGTCTTCTTTACCGACGCCGATTGAGTTCGGCTACGGCTCCAGCATCCCCTTAAATGTGACGACAAAGTTAAAGATGACGAACAAGAGAAAAGGAAGCAGACAAAGTTAAAAATTCACCTTTGTAATCAAAGAGATAATATAATGATAATATATCGCCTGTTAAAAATTTTATATATTATATGTATAATTTCTTTCTTTTTATTTTTCAAAGTTTTTAATTAATTATTAAATTCATTTTTTGAGACTTTTAATTAATTAATAAAAATGTATTTATATCTTTGCGAGACATAAAATCAATTTAAATAAAAAAATTTGTTTGTATATAATCATTTAAAAGTCATGTTGTTATATACCGTAATTACATTTTTCTTAATGTGGTAGGGTAGACCGGGGCACGTTGTTACACATTTGGTTCAATATTTTTTGTATTTTTTACATTCAATATTTAAGAGTACTTTGATATGCCAAAATTTCGAGTGAACCCTCAGCTTCAATTGGACAGTATCGAATTTTGTGTGATTGTTACTCTACAGTTGTTACATAACAATAAATAACGACAGGTCGCTTGTGACAACGTGCCCCGTGATCGGGGCACGTTGTCACATCAAATGTACGTGCATGCAAAATGTTATCCAAACTGTATTCAACGTAAATATCAATACATTATAGTGCGCTGCAATGTAAAAAAGTAAAATCCTTCACATAAACATTTATTTTATTTCAAAAAAGTACAAAAAACATGAAGTTTTCGTCTTAATCTAAATACAAAAATTCCACTCAAATGCGCAACTTATTGATACACATTTTTTCTTTTATAATCATGTCGGTGATTAAACATAAAATATTTTTACTCGTTATCGTCATCCGAAGATTCGCAATAGATTCCCATCAAATTCGTGACAACGTGCCCCAAAGGCATTTTCTTACTTCAAACAGCCTCATGGCCGACACGTTTGAAATATTCATAAGGTTAGGTATGGCACGCGGTAGGTAAAAGTACATACTTCAAGATATTGATAAAGGTCTATTCTAAAAAAACATAAGCTTCATGTCCAGTACGTTGAATATTAGACAATAAAATTTTACTTACGGTCGCAAAAAACTTTCAAGTTGATTTTACGTCAACACGGCTGAAGCAATCTCAACACTGTAAACACACCAAAGATGGGCATACACTAACACGTTTTGGGAATGACGGGTGCTGCCCTCTGGTTATTAGTTTTTTAAATAAAGCCGATATGACAACGTGCCCCATGTGACAACGTGCCCCGGTCTACCATATTACTAAAAAAATAGTAATATTAAATATTGTCGAAAATGTTGTTTTGTGTAATAATATAGTGAAAAAGTTAAATGTGCGGCGCGCGCCTGTAGTGTTTAATATATGTATATATTAATATTACACATAATATTTTATATGTATAAGCGTAACAAGCACATGATGAATTAATGTCAATTATTTAATTATCAGACATTTTTCGTATTAAAATCTAATTTTAATGAAAATATGAGATAGACTTTTTTAATATAAAATTATAATAATAAATAACTTTTGATATAAGTCACGATATATATTAAAATCTGTTGTTGTGCGCATTTAATCGCACAGCTTATCTTGTGTGATTATGGATGCGACAAGTATCATCGCAATGATTTCAAGTCCAAGAAGCGTTTCTCCCCCTTCTTATCTTGGTTTTCTTACATATATAGGTATACGTACATGCGTAAAATGCGCTACACGTATTTATAACGTTCTACGTCGCGTCCAACGAAGCATCTCGTTAGTCTGTTATCTCATCGCATCACGATGGTTTCGACCTTCGTGTTGTTGCTGACTACTCTAGTCGTCATCGGCGTTCTGAAAATTCTTTCTGTGCTGCATCACGCGTATTTTTACTGGAGGAATAAGGGCCTACCTTACCTGCCAAATTCGCTATCGTCTTTTATAACAGTTTCGAAAGTGTTTATAGGCTACATCCCATTGGCCGATTATTGCCAATATATATACCGTTTCTTTCCAAACGCTAAATATGTTGGAGGGGTGAATTTTTTTACGCCTGCCATTATTTTGCGCGACCCCGAGCTGATTAAAGACATCATGGTGAAAAATTTTGAACATTTTCCGGATCATCTCAGCTTCGTTGACGAAAGCGTAGAACCGCTGTTTGGCAAAAACGTCGCCTTCTTGCGCGGAGATCATTGGAAAGAAATGAGGAATACACTGAGTCCCTCTTTCACCGCCAACAAAATGAAGTTCATGTTCGATTTGATATCGGAATGTTCTCACGACTTCGTCAATTATTTGGTCGACCATCCGGAGCTCTGTCAGGAGGTCGACACAAAGGCGGCCTTTAGCCGATACACCAATGACGTAATTGCTACGGCAGCCTTTGGCATAAGTGTGAATTCTATGAAAAATCGAGACAATGAGTTCTATACAAGAGGAATAGAGACTTCCAAATTTATTTCCGGACCACTAGCATTTGTTAAGATTATATTTTTACGCGCGTGTCCACGGCTTGCTAAATTAATAGATCTAACTCTTTTCCCGTCGGCCACGTCCAAGTTTTTTAAGAAAATCGTAGAGGAAACCATTAGAGCGCGAGAAACACAAGATATCGTCAGACCAGATTTAATTCATTTGCTAATGCAGGCTCGGGACAAGGACAGTGCCAGTGTACCGAAAATGACATTAAACGACATCGTTTCGCAAGCTTTCATCTTTTTCTTCGCTGGTTTCGATACCTCCTCGACCCTGATGTGTTTCGCTGCTCACGAGCTGGCGGTTAATCAAGATATTCAGGATCGCCTGCGCGAGGAGATCTTGCAGCATCTTACCGAAGGAAACGATGAGATTTCTTACGAGTCGCTATCGAAGATGTCTTACATGGACATGGTGATTTCCGAGACTCTCAGAATGTATCCACCAACGATCCTCACCGATAGACTTTGCGTTAAGGAATACGAACTACCTCCGTCACAAACAGGCAGCAAAAATGTGATCATCAAACCTGACAATATATTGATATTTCCCGTTTATGCTTTACATCGCGATCCAAAATATTTTCCGAACCCGGATAAGTTCGATCCCGAAAGGTTCAGCGAGGAGAACAAGGACAATATTTTACCATACACTTATCTACCATTCGGTCACGGGCCTAGAAAGTGTATCGGGAATCGATTTGCTCTTATGGAGACTAAGATTCTGATAGCTCATCTTTTACAAAAGTTTACTTTGAAGACTGTAGAAAAAACCGTCGAACCAATTGTACATTATAAAAAGGGGTTTTCACTAGCCCCTGATGGCGGATTCTGGATTGGCTTGGAGAAAAGAGAAACATGAAAATCTTGTGCGAAACTCTTGTGCGAAAATCTTGTACATAATTCTACGGAATAGTTGTGTTCGTCAAAATATTATGGCATTTTTAACTTGCAAAACATTTAATGCTTTTAAAGATTATTAAAAGTGTACAATAAAATTTGCGCAATATTGTCATCTAATGCATAAATCAAATAATTGTTTTTGCTAAAAGAAATGAAAAAATTGATAAGCATTGTCACTCGCGAGTCTACTTGCGAGACGTGCTGATCATTTTTAAGGACTTATCTATAACTTCAACTTGTCATCCAATAGCATAGTAGAGGTAATAGAGACGATATCGTTAATTCGTTATATAAGAGTAAATAGTTTTATTACGCGACTGTCTATTGCATTTTTTTACTTTTAAGACAATTTCGTTTCTTATTAGTTCAAATTACTTTTACTTTTAGTTCAGATTTATTTGTAATTTGTTGAAAAATTAAGCATTTGACGTTATACCTACATAACATTTATTAAGAAAATTTAATCGTATTATTAACCGTTAGTTGGTGCGATATACGTATTATGTACGTATCGTATGCGCACTTTTTCATATTTTAATTATAACATTTTTAATATCTTTAAAATTATAATATCTTATATGATACCTTAGTAAAAGTTCTAAAAATGCGGAAATTATTTTACATCACACGTGCGTGGAAAGTGGCACATTACGCGCGTGACATGCGCGTAATGGACCACTTTCTACGCACTTGTAATATAAAATAGGGTGTGTAACACGTGTGTTAAGTTGGAAATTGGACGTGCGGAGTGAACGCACGAGCCGGAGGCGAGCACTTGTTACACAAATAACTATTATATTCCATCAGAAAATAATCAGAGTAAATAGAGATCATTGAATTTTATATCTATTTGGTTGTTTCAGTTTACCCCATATAAATGCTGAAGTTTAATTGTGTCATTGCCAGTTTCCCATCTATTGACAGTGATCTTGTCATTGGTACGTTTATATATCCGTTAGATACTTATTTATCAATTACTTTTTTAACCTAATTTAATCATATTTCTATATTGTGCCCCTTGGAAAATGTTATAAAATATTTTTGTTTGGTTGAGAAGTAAGTTTTAATTAACTTCTGAAATAAAGATATGTAGTAGAAAATGTAATTACACTGCAGAAATTTAAAATACTTTAAAATGATGAAAACGTTTGCTCAATATTTGATATAAATCTTATTTAATAATTACTATATATTAGTTTAACGTTCAGTAACTTTGTTTTATTTAAAAAATTATAACTCACGAACAAATTGACGAAATTTAATGTTTCAGCGCGCAAATTAAAGTTAAAAGTAGTGCGAATGAGAAATAATATGAGATAATTATTAATTAAATAGGAATACTTAATTTTGTCGCCTTAAATTTGAAATTTTAAATAGTACAGAAGGATGCCAGAAAAAGAATTTCTGAATAAGAAAAGACGAATTTGGAGTGTAAAAGATATGTTTTATGTAAAAAAAATTATATTATTTTTATAATCACAAGCTCCTCCCCACCTCTTCCGCCTGCCTTTGAGCCATAATAGTCCTCTGTGGAATGTAAAATTTTTTGTAACAACAAAAATATTTGAAATACGCTTAAATTGTACACAAAAATACATTTTTATTAAAAAAAAATTCTCACTTACCTACACACAACACTGACGTAATTCTCCAACCATCCATTTTCGTAATTTTTCCTGTTTGCCGTTTCGAGAGTAAGCTTTAAAAACATTTAATTGTTTAAAGCACGCTACGAACCTATGTGGCACCTCGTTTTGCATGGAAAGTGTATGCGTGAACTATTTCAACATATATATTAGTTATTTATGCCTTCCAATACTCAAAATAGCTGCTATATATATTTTCCAAACTTTTTTTTGTTAATAACTTTTTAACAAATAACGAGCGATGGCTAAAACCTTCTGAAGGTCACTCGGGGTCATGACCTTGACAACATATATCAAAGTCATTGAAATCGGTGAGGTCGCCCTTAATCTAAACATATATTTACCAAGTTATATTTATTTTGAGCTTTAATACTGCATATCTCAAAAACTAAAGCAGTTAGCCCTATAAGACTTTATAATTCTTTGTTCAGCGTAAAAAATACTACCAGAAACCACAGTCAAATCAAGGTGCACCAGTTATCGTGTTTGTGCCTGTCGTTGGCTTGGCGTGAGAAAGTCTTCCCTATCGTTTATCGCAAATATCTGGGCAACCATCCAATATATAGAGATGATTTAAAAAGGACTGTTTAGTTTATACTCTGCGCTATTGGAATATCTCGATTTTGTTACTATAAGCAATTACGTCCTTCCGGTTATTTAACATGATAAAGCGCGCGCGTGCCGTAAAGATCGGGCGCCAAATGATTTCTGACTGTCATAAAACGCTTATATCTCGACAACCGTAAATGATAGAAAGATGATTAAAAAAAGACTTTGTACTTCGTACTTTGCCCTATTGGCATTACCCAATTGTATTACTCGCAATCATGTACTTTCGTTTATTAAAGCAATAAAGCGCGAGCTGGCCAGAAGAATCGCGCGCCTCGCCGCATTCATCATTTTCATTAAAACGTTTATATCTCGGCAATCGTAAAAGACAGAAAGATGATTCAAAAAGCACTTTTTAGATCGTGCTCTACTCTGTTAGAATTGCTTACTTTTATTATTGGCAATTATTTATTTCCGTTTATTAAGACGAAAAAGCGCGCAAAATCTTAAAGATTCGGGCGTCAAGCGATTTTTTATTTACTTTAAACGCTTATATCTCGGTAACCGCAAACGATAGAAAGACGATTCAACAAGCACTCGTTAGTTTAAAATCTGCGCTATTGGAATTAATCATTATTAATATTGGCAATTTTTCAGTTTCGATTACTAACACGAGAAAGCGCGCAAGATCTTAACGAAATGTGCGCCGAGCGACTTTTTATTTTCATTAAACATTTATCGTATATATTTCGGCAATCATAAATGATACATCGAAGTATATATACGATTAAACGGTATAACTTTTCGGGACATTGTCTCATTTCTAAGATTTCTGGAAAATGACATTTCGGTGCACATTGTCACGTTTCTAAGATTTCGAGATTATGCCCTTTCGGCACATTGTCATAGTTTTCATTTTTTTGTAATTTTGATTTTTCGGGACATTACATGTTCACTTATAATCTTTGTTAAAGCAGAGAATAGTAGAAAGCATAAATACAGAGTATTCTGTGCTTTAATCAAAAGCACAAACTATCGTCTGCTTTAATTGTAATCCTTTAAATTTTTATTCCAAAACATTTTTTGAATAAATTTGGGCCATATTCCATTACCAATTACATCTTGAATTGTAAGCAAGAATATACTCTCGGCTAGATTCTGTACGGTATATATTTTTACGTATTTTTTCTTTGGCTCTATCGTTTCACACAGTCGTGTCAACCGTCAACCAACACCAACACAGTGGGTGCATCAATGGACAAATAAACGTAGTGTTAATGGTTCGTGGGAGAACATGATATTTCCGGACATACCCGATGGCATTCAACTTTCTATAATTTCACTTGGAAGCCACCAGCTGCTGCCTGCGGCTGACAACTTATATGGAATTGTGCTTGCAGGAAATGTGCGGTATACGTATGACTTAAACTCCAGCGATTTACCACGCTTCGATCGAATGGAGCGAAAATTTGCGTTTCGGGCGAAATTTCATGCACGAGAATAGGTGTCCGTCGATCGAACGACACCGGGATTATTGTTGGCACAAGGTTGAAGAATTTCAATGGAGAACGATTTCCGTCTCGTTACGAGTTCATCGTTTACTTTTATTCGAATGGCGTTTCTCTACAAATAAGATACCTATATCGTTAACATCGAAAAATCAGAAAGACCGATCACCTCTTACGCTCCTGTGAAAAAACAGCGATAAGAATTGAAGAATACAATACTATTAATTTGATATATTAATCGTACTATAACAATACACTTTTTAATCGTACTTTATTATTTCTATGTTTCGTTATTTTTTCAGCATATAGTTATTTAGGTCAATTCTTATTTTAGTAGTGTTGAATTTATTTGAAATAGAGATTTTTGCATCAACTTGCAGACTTGCAGACTTTTGTGTAAATTCGAAGAAAAATTACGTTACGCGTTTACACTATTTCGTATTAAAGAGTTTGAATTCTATTATTTCATACGGTCGAAATGTACCACTATGTCTGCTTTTAAAGCGATGCATATTATATATGTTATTTACTCTTCCTCGATGATTTAAAATGTCTCATTGAATGATATACTGTAATGATAAGGCAAAAGAGTAACTGCAGCTCTCAGAAATGTACATTACATTTTATTTCTACAATATTTATGTATTCTGGTCATACAGTTAAAATCATTATGCGATCTCTCTGATAATGTAATTTTAATATTACATAATTCTCTAATGTCTGCGTATTATATATAACGTTAAACGCACGGAAACGGACGTAAAAGATAAATTTAAACGAAGCCCTTTTGAAGATCCACGAGATCACAAGACTTATGCTCGCGATGTTAGAGTACAAAATGGATGAGGCAAGTTTTGTGTGTGATCGTGCGCGGACCAATTATACCTCGGCATATATATCCGGGTACGCGCGGCACAGTAACGCTAATTACACTGTTTCTCTCTACCATCGTGTATCCCGACCAGTAATTTATAACTCAGAAACAGGTCGTAAAGGGAATCGTTACTAATGACATCGTAAAACCAATACAGACGTCATATATTTAATATACATTATCCCCACTTGAAATGTCGCTCCGTGCTCCAATTTAAATCAAACCCCTCCGGGATGTATCGGGGACCCGGGAAAGAAATAGTACCGGATGAGAATCGACAAATATAAAGATGAATTACGCCGCGATACATTTTCCTAAATCGGATATCGTTAAAACGTTGATTAACGAACGCTTTGTTTCCGGACGCTCAACTTCGATTTCCAGTCTTTCTTTTTTCGCTCAATATAAAGCATTTTGTTCATGAAGAGGATGAATGCGTAAGTAACGTAAACCTGTGCAATTAAAAATATAAGCACGGAATATCCGTAAATGAATTAATCTATTACGAGCAATAAAAAATGTTTTACTTTATCCGCATTGCTTTGAGTTCTTTGATTATACATTAAATAGTTATATAGGCAAATATTCATCTATTTTTGTTTACTTTGCGTTTCGTTGAACGAGAAAAAAAATTTGCACGCATAATAAATATTTGGATAACCATCGGTCCCTTTCTATAAATAATTCCTTTCATACAAGTAATAAGCAAAAAGAAAAGAAAAAAAGCAACACACGGTGTAAAAAAAATTACAGGAAAATCGAGCGAAAAACTCTTCCAGCGGATACTATTATCTCTGTCATGTATATTTTCATCGATTTCCGTTTGCTTCGGCTGCTGTTTGAACGAGCGAAAAATCCGATTTCATCGTAACTAAAATATATATTCAGGAGCCTGGAATATCTATTCGGCCGAGGCGTTCATTCAACAACCATTTATTCCCTGATGCGCCTCTATCGGATGATAGCACCCCGCGCGTCGTCCCACCCCCTCATCATCATCACCGAAAATTAGGAGTAGAAAAGGTTTCCAATGTTGCGGAAGAAGTTTTGCCGCAGAGTCCTGCACGAAACCGCGACGCGGAATTATAGGACAGTATAGACTATATAGACAGTCGAGACACACACACGAGGAATCGATTAATGGAGGGTCGGTCGCCGATGCGGTTTGGCGAAAAGTAACCGAAACTGCGACCGAGCCCTCTCGGAGCGTGGCGCGAGAACGGTTTCCGGCTCAAATGGAATTTCAAGCGTTTAACTGACAGCTGACGAATCTGCGGCATTGATGGCGTTTTAGCAGACAATCACCGCCGCGTGCCAGGCGTGACATTTTTATCGAAATAGATGGTGTAGCAATGTGGGGAATACAAATCTCATTTGCAAATAAAGCTAAATTAAGTTAACAATGAATAAATATATAAAAATAACACGTACATTATTAAATTAATTATATTAAATTAATTATATTAAATTAATTGATAGCATTTTGTAGTCTTTTGGCTTTTATGCAGAAATATCAACTGTTATAAACATTTACCCTGGTAAAAAATTTTCTCATATTTTCTTAGAAATTTTGTAAGAATTGGAACTCTTACGAAAAATTCTGAAAAAATAAATAAAATTTCTCGAAAAAAGATACTTTCAAAAATAATTGATGATTTTCGAAATATTTCAGTATCCGTATATGCATGTAAATTTTTCTGATAAATTGATTGCAGATTTTCTCATATTTATTTAAGATTTCTACAATGATGCAATGTATTGGCGGGAAATATTTTATTCTTATTTTGATTCTGTTTTTTTGAAAAACGTTCCAATTCGTGTAAAATTCTGAGAAAATCTAAAAATTTTTATAGAAATTCTGATTCTATATATATAAGAGTATGAAAAATTCTGAGATATTTTTCTACCACAGCGAAATGCTAATTTTCTGATTTATCTCAATTATTAAAATTGTTTTATTCATTTATACTTCAATATAGCTCAGTATATACTTCAACTAGTCGGATCCTGTAAAAATTTGTGATAGGGATATCTGTAGAGAAAGAGAGGGAAACAGAAGTTAGTCGCAACGGCTCAGCTGGTAGCCAACTCTACCTGACTACCTGAGATCGTTTGGCGGGAAGATAACCACTAACCACGTGTTATTTATGTTGTGCCTTGGGAATCTTGGGATATATCTTCGAGTTAAAGATCAGTGACATTTTATTGTAAAATATCAACATGCTTCAAGATTATCTCTTGAAGCACCACACGAAAGACTTGGAAGACATATTAAATGCTACAGAGGCTCACTTATTTTATTCGATATACGTAAAGTAAGTCTTTACAAGCATTTGCTAGGTTAGACTAGTGTGATGTATCTCATTGAGGCTGCGGTCCACTTGACGCTACAAATGCTTTGAAGCGTTCTTTTTCTCCTTCTTTCTTCATTGAACTCGCTGCACTAGTTCAGAGTTCATCTTTTTTACTCCACATTGGAAGGAAACTTTGAACTAGTGCAGCCATTTCAGAAATAGAAAACAGACCCAAGGATAATTGCCTGCGTAAATCTCTTAAATGTATCAATAAGAATAATTAAAAGTTATAATTATCCCGTAATCGTGTTCTTATCGTATATTAATGACTTTTCAGCTTCGTGTCATTATTTGAGGCTGATGCAGAGAGTGCACAGAAAATCTTACGTAATCCTAAACACTATTTACCACTGTGTAATGAGGCAGCAGTAAAAGCTCAGGAACAACTATGCAAAACTCAGCAAATAGTAAAGACCAGGGTATGAGACTTTATCAGTTATTATTGCATGTGAATTATGTGCATGTTATTTGACTAGAAGCGATTATTTTTATTTTGACGAATAAATCTTGAAGTCTATGTCAATTAAAGTGATATCTACATTTTATCTAATTTATCTTTTATATAATATATTAACCAGAAAGATATTACATTATTGTAAATATTTAAATAGACACAGATATATAATTTCTATACTGTTGTTAATAAATATTAATATATTCTTATCTGGATCTTACCTTATTATACTATATGCAGGTTCACATTCGAATTACCGCAGCACCATTAAAAATCGACGTGGGTAAAATTGGTGAGCTAGTTTCGACATCCGGAATTGTGGTACGCATGTCTCAGCCCACAGTTATGAAATTGAAGAAACGTTTTGTCTGTAGAAAATGCAAGCATATTAATATAGTGAAAGTAGGTGAACTTCATGTTTAACAAAAAGCATGAAATAACAACAAATTACAGTTTAAAGCTAGTGTAATGAAAAGTCTTAATTTTTTCCCTTATAGTTAGAATGGGAAAAACAATTGTTTAGAAATATTAAAAGTTGCGAATCATGTCGTTCTCAAGGTGTGACAGCTTCAACGTCTTTAGAACAAGACGATTGTTCTGATTACCAGGAAATAAAGATTCAGGTACAGAAGAAAACTTAATTTTAACTATTAGAAATATGTAAAGTATATTATATACTTGAACAACAATTTTGTATACAGGATAAATGTAAAACAGATACAAGGAGTTGCTATTCGGTGGGTCTGCAAGTAGTTTTGTTGGATGATCTTGTTGACAAATGTAAACCTGGAGACAATGTAGATGTCAGGTTCACAAATTACATATTTTTGTATTTTATTAATGTGTATCTATAATTAATATATAATTTTGGAAAAAAAATACCAATATTATAATTAATAAAATCAGAAAATTTGATTTAACGATTAACTTCAGTTATAAATATAAAAATATTTGTAGTGGAGTAGTTATACGAAAATGGGGCACGTTGAAGGTTGGCCATCGCGCGGAAGCTACGACGTTCCTGATGGCAAATAGCATTTCTGTACGCAGGAAAATCACTGACGCAACGTTCTCTACAGGAGAAATAAAAGACACTTTTAGAGCGTATTGGGAACATTATCGAGAGAATGCGTTATCTGGCAGGGATAATATTCTCGCCTCTATTTGTCCACAAGTATATTTAAATTTAATATTCTTAAATATTACACAAAGTAATATTTTATAATTTATATCATTAATATATCTCAAAAATTTTAATAAACCCATTCTGTTTCTCTTTTGGTTTTCGATAGTTATATGGGATGTATATTGCGAAATTAGCGTTGGCCGTTGTGCTGTGCGGTGGTGTGACGAAAACTAATGAAACGGGAACGCGTATAAGAGGTGAGCCTCATCTTCTTCTGGTCGGTGATCCTGGCACTGGCAAATCACAATTGCTTCATGTTGCGTCTCGACTGACTACCCGGTCTGTCTTTACAACCGGTGTCGGAAGCACTGCCGCTGGACTTACAGCAGCTGCTGTCAAAGTTAGTACATGTTAAATGCTTTATTTTCATTCATCGTTTTTAGTTAAGTGATCATTTTGTAAATGAGAAAGATGAGATATCTACTGTGAAAAATATATTACAGGATTCGGACGGTTGGCATTTAGAAGCCGGAGCTCTAGTGCTCGCAGACGGAGGTGTGTGTTGCGTGGACGAGTTCATAACAATGAGTTCGCATGATAGAACCTCTGTACACGAAGCGATGGAACAGCAAACGATCTCCATCGCCAAAGCTGGCATGGTGAGCACGCTAAACAGCCGCTGTTCCGTTATTGCAGCCATCAATCCAGACGGTGGATGTTTCACAGGCGAAGAATGGAAAACCTGCTTGGGAAATCCTCTTTTGTCGCGCTTCGATCTGATTCTTCTTCTAAGAGACACTAGAAATCCCGAATGGGACAGATTGACGTCGATTCACATTTTGAAAGCTGCCTGTGAAGACGAAGAAAACAATTCGTAATAATATCCGCATTTCCCTCTCACACAATCGATGTTGCGATCATAGTAATAAAACATATGAAATATTACAGATATTCCGAAGCGTATATGGGTCCTTTGAATTTAACGGGCTTATGGTCGGAAGAGACTCTCTGCGAATATTTCGCACACGTGCGTGCATTAAAGCCAACGCTAACCGAAGACGCAAAAAAGATACTCAGTGAAACTTATCTTCATCATAGATCAGACCCGTATAGAAAGCCTGAGAGAACGACAGTGCGACTCTTAGATAGTCTTATCAGGTAAAACGAAAAAGTAATCATTTAAATTAGTCATCAATAATAAGACGAGAGATTCTCTTTTTCGAAAGTTGTTTGTCCTGACTCAATTTCAATTATCGGCGATCTATAACGTCATTGGATATTTTCAGATTAGCTGAAGGCCACGCAAAACTCATGTACCGAACTAAAGTAGAGGTCATTGATGCTGTGACTGCAGCAGAATTGGTTGGAACTACACTATTAAATAGTTCCGATGCCGGTTGTCCATTTCCAACAGATCCAATAGCAACATATCATTTAAAAGGTATATTAGACAATTTACGAAGTAGTATAAATTATATAAAATATTTTAGCATTTTTTATACGATACTAATATTTCAATATTTTTTACAGCAAATGACTTACTCAAAAGGCTTAATTTACAGGAATTGGAACCATACATATAAAGACGTAACTTGCCAATATATCACAATCGAGATTAAAAATTATTTATTTTTAAATTAATGATATTTTTATGATAACTATCTGTTAGACTTGATAATCTTCATAAAACTTCACATTTGATGATTTCGCATCGAAAATTTTATATCTAATATTTATGATTATATCTTTAAAAATTATTTTTAAAAATTTTAATTGTATTAGTTGTATTGTTTATATATATTTATTACCATTATAATACGTGAAGAAATACAAATAAATCGTCGTATATCTCAGTTCCAACAAATAACATTTGTTAACGCTTTAATTGAAAAAAATTATTATACAAATTTATAAACTTTCCAGTAAAATTCAATCTTCCTTTCTATTAACATGCTTCCTTGTTTTGATAAAAGCCGTTTGATATAAAACAACAATCAGTAAAATAATTTAACATATTGCATAAAAAATAGGAATGTACAGGGTTTCACAGGTTCATAAGAAAGCTATTTGTGAATATTTATAAGTAAGTTAGCATTTATGTTAACATATTCAACAAATATGAATCAAATTATGTTTTATAATTCAAATCTTGCAGTTATTTGAACTTGGAATAAATTTAATTACTTTCATAACTTATAATATGATCACATTGTCATGAGACTGTGCCACTAAAATATGAAAGCTAGTAAATATAAAGCAATTGTGTAATAATAAAATTATGACGATATGACTGATATTATCAATAGCTCGCTTATATCATTGTAACCTAATTTGAAGATCTCATAAATAAACGTACATGATAAACAGTAATACAAACTAATACATCAAACTTATATAGAGATGTGTATAGTATAATTTTTTCTTTCAACATAAAATATTATACTTGGAAAGAAATACATACTAGTTTCGAAAGATTTCTTTAGGATATCCGTTGATGCTTCGAAATACTCTTTGCAGTGTTAACTGTACAATTAACGTTAATAATATAACGTACATCAGAGAATAAATTTCATCGTGAAGTATAATGCAATTCATACATAGCAACGTTTCATTGTAAGAATAAAGTTTTTGCAATACATTGCATTTCTATGATTGTATCGTATAATCCATAAATAGTGGAACTAATGAGATCTATCCACTTACTGAATGATGTAAAGCCAGAACATAGTGTTTTTCGTAGAACAAATAAATGGTAGAATCATTTAGTAACGTGGCTGGCTAGCGTTAGCCATTTGCGTGCGAACCGCACTGGCCGCGACATTGCTCGCGGCGTTTTGCACATGCTCGTTTCGCAAAAATGTTGTAGCGAACTCTTGCTGCGCCTTTGTAACACTCGCATCGGAGGTACGATAAATGCGATGGATCTGAAAATAAATAATCTCATTTTAGTTTACTTGAGATCAATATATTAATCTTCACTTTTTTAAATCTTAGTCTATATGTATGTACTATGTACCTTAGAAAGCAGTAAGAGATCACCACCTGCCGCAAGAAGAAAACAAATAGCGACGAAGAGCATAAGAAGACCGACGAAAATACCTTTGGCCGATGAGTCAAACATTCTAACTGCGGTAATTATGCCACTAAAAAATAAAAATATACAATTTGTATTAACATACAAGTGCTTGCACATCGTGCATAAAAAATTAAAGTGTGCAATAACAATATAGTAATACAAATATATTACCAAGTTCCAGCACCAGGAATACCTATAGCCTGGATACCGGTGACGATTAGTTGAAAGAAGAAGACGAAGAAAAAGACCATAAAATTGAAAGAGCTGTCGTTCCTGAAAAATTAAAATAATTAAAATTAATTAATAATTAATAATTAAAATTAATTAAAATAATTTCTAATCCTTAATTTCACTCCTGATTTCTGAAATGTTAAGTGGATTTACTTGAAAGCCCTGTACGCTGGTCTAAACCAGCACATGAAGGAGAATGGAGTGAAGAGTATGAGATACAAGATAGCCAGGCCGAATGTCGAGAAACCCTCGCCACAGAGCATCAAGACGAAGCCTCCAATTACATTCAACAGCAGAACAGAGCCGTGAACTGTAAACAATATTATTAAATAAATATATAATCCATATATAACATTTAAGGAGGTTGGTCAGCGTCCCGTTGCGGGGCAGGCGGCGCGGCAGGGGGAAAGCATGTAGATTAGATTTTCGTCGCGTGAAATGAACGAACTTTAGCAAATAAATATATGGAATGCATTCAATTCCTGTTTCTTAAGGTCTAAAAAGAGTTGTTTATACAATTGAAACCCAAATACGTTATTATCCACGTTGAAATGTGGAAATAATAAATGTGGTCCTGTTTTATTTTTACAATTTCTTGATAACTATCCCCGTGTTCCTTTTTTACTGGTAATGCTGAAAATATATAGTTTGCGTCACGTAACTATAGATTTTCAGTACTGGCAGTGAATATCGGAACACGCCCTATAAGGCTGCGGTCCACTTGACGCTACAAATGCTTCGAAGCATTCCTCTTCTCTTTTCTTTCAATGAAGAAAGAAGGAGAAGAAGAACGCTCCAAAGCATTTGTAGCGTTAAGTGAACCGCAGCCAAAGACGAATTATTTCAGTCTTCGGGAAAGTTCTTCCTAAATATGTAAAGAATTATTTGCACCTATTTTCATTAAATTCTTATCATTTTTAATATGCTTTCGAGAGTTACGTTACAGGTTAGGTAACATTTTTGCTGTGTCGCCCGTGTATAAGAGAGAGAGAGACAAGAATATAACTTCAATAATTAATTACTCGACAAACCATGCAGACAATTATCTTCAACTTTGGGATGGACGACAGATTTCCATAAACGAATATTTTCCATAAATTTGAATTAATTCTTATCAAATTGATATGAGTAACCACCCTCCTTAATAAATATAATATCGTCTACAATTAAACTTACACATCCAGAGGTAATATAATTGCCTCACTGTTTTTTGAAAATCGGTATGAATTTCCACGTCAATATCTTGATAGAAGCATGGCTGAAAACAGCACTTGTCTGGTAACGGCGGCCAATTATTTCGTCTCGCTAAAGCACCAATAAATAATTGTGTAAAGCAATTTTATTTGATATTAAAAATTGTAAAGTATAGATGATATGTACTAACGATAATACGGGGTATTTCTCAATTCCTCTTCCGCCCTGGTTTTCCATTCCGGTTCCACTTGTTGCTAAAATGTATATTAGAATAATTTCTCTTATCTGATCTTAACAAATTCACGTGCTCCACAGATACGTGAAACACATTCAAATAAATATTCAATATAAATTTACATTTGACGGAGGTGACATGGTGCTTCCAAGCGCCGCATTGACTGTTTGCTGGGGAGTACGAGCGTACGCCGGAGGAGGTGCTTCTTGATTAGAAGGTTGAAGCGTAGCGGGTTGCTGCGTTGCACCGACTCCGCCATAGATGGGCGGATTTACTGCTCCTCTGACTTGTGTAGTTCCTTGAGTACCTTGCTCAGCGAAAGGATTGTAATCCTCAAGACCTCTGCTAGCCGGTGTAGAGGTTACTGCTCTTCGTATCGCAGGATCCTATTACATATGTTACATGTGTCAATATCCATTGACATTCCATTTTTAATCTCTTCATAGAATTTCTTATCTTATCTTCTCTTTTGTTCTTATAGATATATAACTGTGTCATTTTAATGTGACACAAAGAAATATATGTATATATGCATACACATTCCAGCAAATTATTATTAAAAATTGCATTTTATTCGAATCGTACTTTTGAAGTGGGATTACAAAATCAAACTATAATCAAATGCGAAAAGGAACAAATATGGAGACATTATACTTTATTGCAGCGTCACAAAATTGCACGCAAAATATAGTGATATCATTAAATATGTATGGCATACGGATAAAACATACAGTTATATATATTCAGGCAATTAGATTTTATAATAAGCCATCGGCGTCATATGATAATAAGAAAAGAGGATTGTCAATGCAAGCGGATTATATGCCGACATTAGAATGACACGTCCGATAAATCTTCGGTCGAGTGTCGCAAGTTTTGGTTATTGACGTAAAAAAAAAATCACTCGATAGGTCGCGATTAAATCCTTCGCGAGCGCGGAATATCGGCAGGGCTGGGCACGATTTACGGCTCGGGGAATTTTTGACAGATACGCGAGCAATATTGGAGCACGGAGCACGGAGCTGCGTGTGTTTCGCTTCTATCACTGTCACGCACATGAGAGTAAAACGCTACTCACCGAGAAGGGATCGTTAATCGTAGGCTCCCCGAAGGGATTCTCGTCAAAGCCGGACATCTCACGTCCTCGTTTTAGCACCGACGACTACGCCTGGGCCGAAACACTCGGGGAGTCCGTACGATTTTGATAATACTCAATTAATCTTATCTAAATCTTGCCTAAACCTGACGAGCCATGATTCCGCCGTTATATACGGTGACGCCGTGGCAGCAGCCGTTCATCTCGGCCCACGTCCATCACTATAGTACCATGGCATAGAACTCGATACTATACATATACACTATACCACAGATTAATAGACAGATAGCCAAAGGTCCGGGTTGAGACGAGACCAGCATTTCTCACTGGTTTCAGCGCCATACCGTGTAGCGGCCAATGAGCTTCTTCACTAACTTTTGCTCCCGCACAGGGGAGCCACTGTGCCTGGTAGCTAACGGCGCAAATTTCAAAGCAGCGAAAGAATAAAAAAGAATTGTGATAATAATGAGTGGCGAAAAATACGCCAAAGTGGTCTGTGGAAAAATTAAAAAAAGAGCTCCGTTCTCGGGGAGCAAAAGTAACGGGGAAAAAGAAGGATTTACAAGATCGGTAAAATAGATCGTCAATATAGATTATTATGTCTAATATACTCTTTACCCGGCGAACCAAATTGTAACATCAGAGTTATTTCCGTTAATGAATATGAACAAACATTATCGATTGACATACAGTCATAATATTTTTATTACAATACTGATTTTTCGCATATGTTAACAATTGGTGTTTGAAACTCGCGCGGAATACAGCTTTCACTGGCTGCGTTCCGATATTCACTGTCAGTACTGAAAATCTATAGTGTATGTTACGTAAACTATAGATTTTCAGTACTTGCAGTGAATATCGGAACGCAGCCACTGAAGAACCTCATGCAGTAACTACTCTTAAGATAAAGCGGGTCATTTTCGGACGAAGTCGCGGTAACAGTCGATAAGTCGCGTCGTTAAAGCTATTTTCTGTAACTCCCCACACAGCAAGTTATACATAGAAGTTATATACTTACGTACGTTATACATGTACAATATTAAATAGCGCTATATACACATTTATTTCTTTCCAACAATAAAGAAGTTTAAAGTTTTGACTTTCATTAAAAGTAAAGTTAAACTGCAAATTTAAGTTATCCCTTTAATTATTCTGGCGAAGTAAAAGTTATTCAGTACAAATATAAAATTTAAATATCAATAGAATTTATCGTTAAAGTTGTACAGAAGTTATTTACACTTGTATGTATACAATATTAAATAAAAATTGTCGTTAATAAATTTATTGAATAGCTATGTGTCTTATAATTTTAAAAGCTTTGATCGCTGCTGCACTTTCCGAAACTTTTAAAGCAAATATTTAATGCGCGAGAAAACAGACGAAGCTTTTTAGTGTGAGCCAATAAATCAAATGGAAGAAAAATTGATCAGAAACATTCACGATAGGTATACCGCGATTGCGATTTGCAATACACGTAGGTTTTATAAAATGCACTCTTGGTTTCTATCAAGCGAAACCTTATTGCTAATTGCTACTATTAATAATTACTATTTATACGATAACAAATATATGAATAAACATATACAATATATGATAGATCGAATTCTTTTCTAAATTTTATTTAATGCACATTATAATGATGTCCTAAAATGATGTTAATGACAATTATATATAATTTTTTCATTAAAAGTAAAGTTAAACTGCAAATTTAAGTTATCTTTTAATTATTCTGGCGAAGTAAAAACTGAATGATTTCAATTAACAAAAGATTCTTCTTAACGTACCTAAAAAACTGAAAGAGAAATAGAGTATTAACATGCAATCTTAATCCCACTTTATAATGTCATACCGAAAGGTCATTGCACCTCAATGTACCTTGACGTGTGTTAAATTACACGCTTGCAGACTTGAATATTCGTACGAACGCCGTACATAGAAGAATGACAATATGATTTACCACCATGCCTGACGCAGGCGCACCTCTTGCGATTCGATAATAGATAAAGCAACGTTATGGTAGCGGAACTGCCAGTCGCTATGCGCTTAGCCTACCGCGTTAACTGCTTTTTTTTCTTTTTTCACCAGCACATTAAATTCGTGTGTTAAATCCGTGAATTAATAGTTGATAAATAAGAGTGATTAATAAAAACGATCGTTATTCTCGTGCGTGGCTATGAGATGGATGAGGAGCGCGTGAATATTTTCACAAATGTATATTGCTTATTATAATATATTGCTTCGTGCTCGCGTCTAACTAAAAACATTTTTTCCTTCAAACTGTCATAAAAATTTCACTACTTTTATTACATTTAATTATATAATTTTACATAAGAATATATTGTAACTTCATGTTAGATAAAATGCATTCAGAATGACATATCGACACAAATTGTTATTTATTACGTCAAAAATACATAATATAAAAATGCTGTAGACTTAAAATTAAAATTAAAAATTCCTTTTCTTAAAAATTAAAAAATTTTTTATAGATTTCGTAACTTCTAAATTTTTGTTAAGTGAAACGGATCAATTCTGTCACTCGATTGTAGAATGGATGTAAGCTCGTTGGTCCCGGCGGGACTTCAAGGAGGGCAAACAGACGCGTGCGAGGTTCAAGCGGGATATAATAAATTTTCGGAAAACTTGCGAAGATTCACACCGCAGGCTATACAGTGTGCCATTTTTTGCGGCGGGTCCAGATGCAAATATGAGAATCCAAAGGCCTGGCCGGCTGTTCACATGGCAATACAGAACATCTTTTCGCATTGGTGAGCGCTACAACCATTTGTTGAATTTTAATACAATGATAAAAATAAGAAGAAAATAATAATAATATTATTATTATTACTGGTGATTAACAAGCAAAAATAAAATTTTGTCGACCAAAGTATGGCCACTGCTTCTTAATAAATTAATAGTAAAATAACTTTAAATAATGCTTCGTTTAAAACATAAAAATAACGAAACGTGTAATATTATATATTTAACGAGTATCAATTATATCAACTGCCATATAGATTTGCTAACAGTAACTAACTATAATATCATTAGATATACATGTATTCATTCACTTATATAGTTCTGAACTCTATTCTAATATCATTCGGCAATATTTATAAGTCGTTCGATAATTTGTATCGACTTAAAGGCGCATACTGTGTATCAGAGACATTTTCTTATTGACATTCTGTCGGAGTATCGCTCAATTACAACAGAAAATTTTATTTAGATCAAACATACATTTGACATATTAATATGCGTTCCACTGCATCAGTATAAATAATTAGTCAGAGTAAGTAATCAGAAAATTGTATCAGTTTTCGATCTAAATTGTTTAATCATTTAAATATTTTAGGGTGACTGACGATGTCCTTGCGATGGCACGACCCAATACCGCGATGATAATAAAGAAAGATATAATTGCCCAATTCCAAGGATGGAGTATAAAAACCATAATAAACCTGCAGACACCTGGCGAACACGCGAGTTGCGGTGGTCAACTAGAAGAGAGCGGCTTTACATATGATCCTAACATTTTTATGAAAAACGGCAGTAAGTAAAACGCTTATTAAAAAATCCGTTTACACAAGAAAAGTGTCAAATGAAGACTTATATACTCGTATAGGTATAGGTATACGCAAGAATTTATAATCTTGAGATATTGTGTTTATAAACAAAGAAAATTTGCTTGAATGAAGTCATTTATACAGTTCAACTAATAATAAAAAAAAAAAAGTTGAAATAAAAAGTTAAAATTCTTATAAGATTACAGATTCCTGGCGTACTGTTTATAAATCTTGATTTGACACTTCTCTTTTTCTATGTACAATTTCATTAATTGCCATAAACTCATTGCTCATTAAGAATAAATAAAGAAAAGTATTGATTTTGTTTCTTAAAATATATCTTTGGAATAAAAACAAATCACAAACGTAGAAAGTTTTAACTTATAATTTAATCATTTTCTTAAACCCTTTAATTAATATTACATTTATTTTTAATATTCTTTGCTACTGGTGGATAAGTTGAAGCAATATTAATACTTCAACAAAAATCGTTCATGCTATCATACATATAACAAATGTAACATTTAAAAAGTTATTTACTCAAATCAATCTTATTGTATCGCATTTCGCATTTATATGATAATATATAGATTATATATAAGAATGACGGAGAAATAAAACGGCGACGAATTTTACTTTTAAATTAGCAAGAATAGTTTGTCCTTGTGCTAAACGCATGTAGAATCGTGATGTGGGAGCATTTCTCCCCCAATCCTAACAACCACCAGTTAGATCGAAGAGGTTCACAATATAACATGCAATGCAGCAAAAGCGTATATCTATAAGTAGAAAGAAAAGTTCCGAAATAACGTTTTGCTTGCCGCTCGTATTCCCTCTACCACAGGAAAGTTTTAGGCATCAAGCTGTCTTTCAAATACCGATCACGTGAAAATCTTTGTTGTAGTTTATTATTATAACTTCGCCCTGAAGGATTATGGTAGCGCCACGATGGGAAAGCTTTTGGACATGGTCAAGGTTGTGGCCTTCGCCGTGCAAGAAGGAAGAGTGGCCATTCACTGTCATGCCGGTAAATCGATTTTTCGTGCAATGCACTTGACCCAATTGCATCCCCTGCAGCTATCATGGCTTTTTGAATGTATGATCATGTGAGATGTGGATGCATAAATTAGTCACGGAAACATCCTTTTTTTTTTAGATTCAGGATTGCGAAAAATCTTATTCAATTCCTTTATTTGAGGATACATATTTCTCTAATTTATTACATCTATTTAATGTCATTTAATCGTGATTCTCGTATGATTGTTACTTACAATTAGATCCTTTTGCATATTATTGATATATTTAAAAATATTTTTCAAAAATTTGTATTAACAAAAAATGTATGTTATAATGTATGTACTATATAATATATGTTGTAATATGATGTTATAAAATATTATCCTTAAAAATAACAATATATTTATAGTCCAAATACATAATATTCAATATTAAGCAAAATGATATACTTTTCTTAAAAGTAACAATTATATAACATATTTTTCCATATTTATTACTTAGCTTAAAACTTATTAATATCTTCTCTTTATTATTTATTAAAAGTTGTTAAATATCTTAGATTTTATTGACCGCTATATTTTTGCTATTTATTTACCAATTTTCTACGTTAATTTTACTAAAATTTTTGTTAAATAGCTTGTATGCGCATCTTTATAGCGGATCTGTAAGTTTCAAACGTATCGATTTAAGCAATAATTAAAGAGAATTTATCGTGTATGATATTATCGTGCTGCATTGCATGCATACAAATCGACTGACGTATATACATATATCGGTACCGTACATTCGGATCTTTACGCTGCACACGCGAATAACTTTTATCAAATACCAGAGGCAGGAAAGACTAATCTCAAGTAATGCACGGTAAAATTTAATTTACAAGTTAATAATATGTGTGATATAATGTGTTCAGTATTTTGCGTTAATTGTTTTATGCTTTGCATTATCCGCTTAACACACAAATGCTATTTTAAGAATTACATTACTAATAAAAAGATTTAAAACTTCCTTGTTATAAATAAACAATTTTTTACTAAGTAATCAATATTTAAATTATTTCTTCAAATATGATGAAACTCTACGTCTCAATAATTGTTGAATAATTATTTGGTTAAAAAGAATTTGATTTATGAGAAAACCAGTGCTAGTTATTGCATGATTTATATAATATAATTACGTAATTTGGTTAAAGTATAACTATTGGCAATTACATTAAAGACAATAAAGTAAATTTGCGTTCTATACTTAACATAATTTATTAGCTTCACGGACGTTGCCGCGTCGCGTCGCCAGGGAGTTCCACTTCATTAAAGCATAAAATACGGGTGAAGCGATAAGCGATTTCCAACGTAATAGTTATATTTTTAGAGGACGATATGTATACATTGTATACTTTTAAATAATGTATGTGATAAAGAAAATATCCATTTCGATATGTGGAAGGCTACATCGGAATGTAATTGTGAAATTATTGTGTGCTGGAAGTTAGAGATATAATCACGAGGCCGTAACAAATAAATGGATAATCTTCTTGTGCTGGATTATACATGTAGAAATTGTTATCTAAATGGAATTGTCTGTCTCTGTATACATTAAGTAATGATTTTTTATGTTACTTGATTATAAGTTTTATGCTGCTTGGTTAAGCTAAAGTTGTAAAGTTTTTATCAAATAACGAAGTAAAGTTAACATTATATAAATTGATGTATAACCAATTTTTTTTAATATTTTGTCTTTTATTTTGTATTTTATTCTTTTTTAAATAACCTGTATATTTTGTACTTTTTCTCTATCAAATATTAATTCGATATTTTTAATTAAATATTAGTGTATTAAAATATAAAAGATACAAATTTTAAAGATATAATCGACAATAATCGATTATATAAGACAATAATTGAAAGGTGAATTTTATGCTATAGAAATCCATTATTATTCAAAGCGGCGTTTAAGGACACATGCGGGGTTGGCTATCTATTCTGATCGATCGATCAGTTTCTTCATAATGGCTACTTTGAAACTATCGCAAGTTCACAATCACTTGTAAAAAAAATTAATACTGGTTTATATAAAAAGTCATATGTATGGAATAAAATTGCAAAGATTGCTAAAAATTCTAATTTCTCTCAGAGAATTAATTAGTCATATATGTATAATTACGTCTTCTTGAATTTGACTGTCAAAAACAGAATAAGAGACAAGTATGATATATTATTATTAATTGTAATTCTAGTATTTTCATGATTGATGAAAATTGATAAGATTAGATCAGATGTAGCAGAAGGATTTAGATAACAAGGTGAATATAACAAGCGCGATTAGGAAAGTTAAATTACAGGATTTATCGCGGTCAGTTGGATTGATCAGCTTACTCTGCAACTCCAGAAACGTCTTGTGTGCATGCTACGTGACTTAATTATAGAAGGAAAACGTATAGATCCGAGTATTGTTAACGTCAGTCAGATATCATCTATCAAATATACCATATATGCAGAGTACAAATTTTCGTTTTTTGTAAGACTACAATTGACATTTCTGTTTTCAGTTGCGACATTTATTAATGTAAAACTTTTTGAGTTGATAAACTAATGTTTTATCACTAACACGATTGTTCGATTATCTAACGTGACTGTTCTTTCTATTCTGGGAATCTAAAATGCGAAGAATGCTTTCGATTATAGTTAGTGTGTGCGCTTCCTTCATTCTATTTCATATCTTATACTAAAATCTTACGTAAAATATACTTATACTAAAATCTTACACGTAATCTTAAATTGCGATCGCTTCTCTTCATTTCCATGATAAATGTTATCAAACATCGTTAGAAACACTTTTACAATTAATTCGCTTTTTAGACAATTATACATAACATTACTGAGTTATTATAATCAAGAGTAATCTTTTATTTGCGCTACGATCCCTATACTTATTTTATATATACTTTGCTTGCTTGCTTGCTTGTCATCTGATTAATGAGTCAGCAATTAAGCCGACAGCAAAACAATATGCCGAAAGTATTTTATTTTCAGGTCTCGGTAGAACTGGCGTTCTGATAGCGTGCTACCTTATTTACAGTCTTCGTGTAAGAGCAAACGATGCCATTAGATTTGTCCGCATGAAGCGTCCCTCCGCCATACAAACGCGCGGGCAAATAATTTGCATCCAAGAATTCGAGCACGTCGTGCTTCCGCAAATGATAGTATTCTCTTTGTACAGTACAACGGGGGATCGCAAGCCCTATAGCCTTCAATCGTACCTGAAAAAGCAATACAACATGTTACACGGATATGAGCAGCGCACCTTCAAGCACATTCCAAAAGTGCGGGGCATTCTGTTTCTTTTTTCACAATTTACTTATGTAATGTTAGATTATTTTATTAAATCTTGTAATTCTTTTATATCTATAATTAAATAATCACTTAATTAATTTTCTTTAAATTTAATTTAGTTATGGATAAAATTGAATCTATACGTTCTCCATGTTTTTATTTGCAATTCTTATTAATAAATATGATGTCGGAATTAAGTTCTTGAAATTTGATTTTTGAAGAATAAAAATACAACTAAGTAAAGAGTATAATAAAGAGATATCTTCGATTTATTTTAAACTTGTTTTAATGTGTAATTTTATTTATCTCTCTTTAATAGTTACAATTCTGTTGTATTATTACATAAACAAAAGTGTACATAAAATTGTAGCTGCTTGATTTAATTATAATAACTATGTATTTCTTAGATCGTTTTTATTATTTGCGAGCGAATACTACAGCTCTGCGACTGTCAGGAAGACAATTCGCCTTCCGAGATTGCATACACGGTTTCCAACGTACCTTTTACGCAAAAGTTCATTTGCCACGTATTGGAGAAATTCCGTGACAGCAAGGGTAATATGCGGCACTCCTATTCCTGGGCGGAATCCCTCACGGACTCCTACGAATACTCAAGTGAGAAGTATTACATGCAATGTAATAATTAAGCAATTCTCTCTCTATGATATCCAATTAATTTTCATCCGTTCCTGAATTAAATAATTGAATTACTTGTCAAAATTCCACAACTTTTGATTCACACGTATAATTTCTATTGATTAATGTAGATATATATCTGTACATGTAATGTTCACAATTCTAATCCTTTTTTTGATTAAATATAAAGTAAATATTTTGTAAGATTTTGATATTTTTCAAGTATATTTCTTAACTGATTTACTAAATATATCTTGAGACATTATATGCATTTATATCTATAAAAAAAGTATATATTTTAGCTTTCACAAAAGCGTGCAGCAGTAGTCAGGGATCGTCCCGAGGTACCTGCGATGATATAGGAAGATTGAGCGATGTATTTTGCATGTCACCGGATACTCCTTCCTGCGACTCCACATTTCCAGGTATTACTATTGATAAATTCAACTGTAGATTGGTCGATATCCTTAACTCCACGCCTATATCGACGATACCTCGCTAAAACAGTGGGTATATATCTGACAAGAGGATCTTATTCTGCGACAGGTCTGGACGACACTTGCGTGGATGACGTCCTAGGCGATGGCATTCACGATCAGGATCTGCTTGATAACGACTGTTACAAGGAAATTCAGTCGCACATGGACTTAAGGCACGTCTCCCGCAATGATTACGAAAAGGTGACTGCCGAAGAAGCTATCAAAGCGCTCATCAGAGATAGCGCCTCACTTCCTGATATCATAAAGAAACGTTTGCAGAATTATCAGGTGCATTTTACATACTTAATGTACAAGGAAAATGTTTTTATATACTGCACTGTTAAATTCGTAATGTCAAATTGGATTCAATTTGAGTCATTATACCTATTAACCATTTCTATAGGCCGTCACTTCATAACTCAAAACATATTGTTAACTTAACTAAAACAATGGAGTAATTTTACAATGTATGTACAACGATTATAAGCGTGTGCATTATAATTACCCTACGCATGTACATAAGAACGTTCATTCAGTTTCTTCGAGCTATATGCAATTGCTTGAATGTCTACGCTTATAATAACTAGCCCTAGAATCGCGTGTACAGCATGATCTACATGCTCATGAAATGAATCAATTTAGTGTACATCGCGGATATACTATGTGTGTAACACGTATTATGTGTAATTCTATTTTTAAAACTGTAATAAAGTCGCAAATATTAATTCTAGTTCAGTTAAAGATGCAATTATTATTCATATATACAACATATCATTTACAATGTATCTACAGTAAATCGATTCGAATATGTTGGAAAATAATAACCAAAATTTTAAAAGAAAAATAGAAATGTCTTCATTCTTGGTTTGCGAGGCATAGAGTGATTTGTTTGTTGAAAAAATATAACGTAATAATACACAATTTTAGTAAATTATGTAAATCTTAACTGCAAATAGTAAAGTGTAATAACAATTTGGCTGATATTTTCTTTTAAAAACGTAATAACGTAATAATATATTGATAACGCTATGTGTTGTTATAATAAACATATTAGTGTCAATATTAAAAAAATTGAAAATATCTTTTCAGATTGACTTGAATCATCGATGTACTGCTTGGCAGCGATTAGAATTGGAAACTGATTTGGAGTTATTATCGACATTACTGTTCGAATGGTTGGAAAATCTTAAACATCCCCTTCTTGATGTTGACAGCCTCAGTTACATTGTCGCGTGGAGTTCGAAGCCGCAGCGATGCCTTGGAAAGTTACCCGTCTATGCAAGATATTTATTAGAATACCTTTTGCGATTCGTTACTCGCTTAAGGCCTGTGACAGCTGAAAGTCAGAGTTTAATTACCAAAAGGCTAATAGCGGCACTGACGCAGCAAAAAATTTGGATCAAAAATTGTTTTCACCCACCAAGTATGTAAATATTTTAATTGATTGTAATTTCTAATTAACAGTTGCTTTATTAGATAACACGATAAATATTAAATAATGCAAAGTTATATATAATTAGGATTATGTAATCTTCAAAAAAGTCCAAAGTCCAATATTTGCTTAAAGATGTTTAAAGACACTCGATATAATTGCGCCCTGTCCTGTTCCATCAGTTCTATACCTCATTTGCGTCATATCGCGATCCCCAGAAATATCGATTTGCTTCACACAGTGCCTCACACAGTGCCGCCTTTATCCTATTTATATTTCAGCATCAATAATCATAGTGTCATGTCACGACAGTAAAGGGCATAAATTCATATAAACTTTTGTCACTCTATCGCTATCGAATCGATTAATCCCAATAGAAAAATATAGCGTGACATTTTCTGACATCGTTAAAACTTGTGTTTTAGGTAAACATTTCCAGAAACTGCGACGCGGCACCGCTGGTAAGCTTAACGAATTCTTTGTTCGCCTGATGAACTTGATAGAGGAAGTTAACACTCAAGGACTGGACAAGCCTCCATGGGCGTCCAAGTGGGAACTGTTATCTAATCATTTGCGGGATATAGATAATCAAAAGAACAACGGATGAGTGTGACAAATTTTACCCGGTTTAGCATTCCGATGGATTTTTTTTCTATAATTGCCAACGATATAGATAGACGTCTAATCTTTCTTTTTCACCAGGTATGGACAAAACATAATAATTTATAAATTATGCAAGTAGTTCGCAATATATTAACAATTTTCTTGTTAAAGCAGTGAAAAAAATGTCTTGTCTGTAATAGCAGCTGCAGATAACCGTCTATAGGCAGGTTTCAATAGACTATAATAAACTAAGGAATTAAAGGATGAATTTTCTAATATAAAATAGAATATATAATGGATAATACCTTTGTTACTGTATTTTAATATTGAAAATCATTTATACTCTGCCTGCGAAAAGTTTGACAATCGCGCACTGCGGCATATACTGTTTGTAATCGAGCACTGTTATTATTTCAAACAAAGATTTAGACAAATCGACTTCCAATATTATCAACGTGAATTTATAGCTTGCTTAAAACTTGAGAATTATAGTACGCGAATAATTATAGTACGGATCTAGCTTTCAATTAACTCTGAATGTTAACTACGATTTTATAATTATAAATCTATAATTATTATTTTTACAATGAAATATTCTATGTGATTTGATTTTTGAAGGGAATCTTAACATATATAATAATAATTGCGTTAGTTTTATGTAAACGACTTTAATAAATAAAAATATTTTAGCAGTAATAGTAAGTGAATATTATATGCAAATCACTAATCTTATAACAATCTTTGTCATTAAAAAAAAAGAAGTATATATAATTAATATCCAATAATCTAACAACTCGAAAACAATTATATAGAAACAAAAAAATATTATCGTATAAATGTGTATGACAAAAAATAATTGTAAATTGTAAGATAAATACTGCATTCTCTAACTTAAAACATTCAATTGTTTATTGCATATGATCATTTTGTTTGAATTCATCAAATATTAATTTGATAATAATAAAATCATTATTGCATGGAAATAAAACCGTAAATACTTTATGAAGATGTCGCTATACATTGCTCGCAATTAAATTAAGATTTTTTTAAACTTACGATTAATAATAACAACATATTACAACATATAACAACATATTAATGATAACAACATATTGTTATCAGCTGTGGATGAAGTTACTTCAACTGTAGGTAAAGTTGTTGCAAAATCTTTCACTATTTGTTTCATCGTGATTTTGTAACAGTTTCTACATGTGCTCATTGCATTAAATTGCAATAAATTATACTTAGTTTAAATATTTATGACTCGTATTTACAATCGCTTAATTTTCCACTGAATGTGGCTATCAACATTTCAGTTCAAATTAATGATATTCCGTTCAGTTTGAATATCATGCACTAATTGCATGTGACATAAATAAAATTTAGAATCAGGCGGCTAACTGTGCTAAAACTGTGGAACGTGAATGGAAAATTTAGATCATTCTTTCTATTAAAAACAAAATATACATTTAGGAAAAGTATTTTCACGTGATCAAAAATAGCGTACACAAAAATTACAAATCGATATCAAATATTGTTTTATGAGAATGATAAAGATTTAAAAACAGAAATATATCAAAAGGTGATAACAAATAGCAGAAATATCTAGGATCCCTTTATTAAGTGCGTTAACAGGGAATTTGAAAACAGAATTTTTAAAGAGCTTAGAATTCTCGTATTTTATATATGTCGCAGTTTTTATTATATATATATATATTTTTTATATTTATATATTTATATATAAGTATATCCTTTCCAGATAATTCTATATCAGCTAGGATCTTAATACTAACGCTTACGTCGAACTAGAAAATGCGATTTCGTAAATTCACTATTTACACAGTATGATATAAGTGCTTCCTGCTATCGATCTAGACATATATATTATATTTCCCTAAATACATTAATTTACGTATATAAATCTCGATACGTCTAAACGGGATTATCAAGCATTATACAAACGATGTTCAGTCTTATCCAAAGAAAGTACGGTGAAAATTATATAATTCATCGGTACTTACAATTATGCTACTTAATCGGCTATATTTCTACGCTCCGTCCATTTACCAATTCCCGACGTAAAAGACCGGAGGTTGATAAAGAACAGTTGAAGAGAAATCGTGCATGGTTTTTCTTTCAGTAACACATTTAATTTCTTAGTAAAATCGGTACATTTTTACAAGGCAACTTATCATACAAATACTTAACAAAGTAATCCAGACAATAAACATTATTAGGAGAATGCAATAATTTTCAATTTATGCCGGCGGTATCTTATTCGATCGATTATACGGTCGTTCTTTATGGAATTTTTACATCTTTGCGTGAGAGCTCGAATTGCGATAACAACCTCCTTGTTTTATTTTCCTTGCAAATTACTTTAAATTATATATAAAAAAAAAGAAACGGAGAATATGTAGAAAATTATTATCTTTTACAATTTTGTCAGAGATTATTGGTATGTTATTTTACGTTAAAAACCATATTTATTTATACGTTCTTCTAACACGTTTGATTTGATTGCGAGGGAATGCTTCATTTGACGGGAATCCTTACGATGTGTTTCACGTTACACACTCGTGAGAATGTTGAATGGAACGCAATGAAATTTGTCATGAACATGTCCATCTCGATCACAGATGTACAATGTATCGAAATTGCAATATATTCGGATATTTAATCAATATACAACAATTACTTGTTTCACAAAATACGACGGATTGTCATTTCATTTCGTTGACGCGCTGTATTGAATTTCTCTAGCAGCTTCGTAGGGGTAGATTGAAAAATCTAACGAAAACTTTTTGAAATTAGCAACAAACGGCTTTCTTCAGGATCCGACTGACTTGACTTTTTTTTTATTAAACACAAATAAACATTAGCATCGATTTGGCACTGTTCATGTTGGGATACCTCGATCTATCTGATATGATTACACGGAACCGCCGTCGCTTTCGTCAAAGCAAAGCAATAAAATTCTAGGTAATGCATCGCTGATTGATTATCGGGATTCGTTATCGGCAATTATTTTCCGAGCGTTTTGCAAAGTTTCTACACGCGGCACGATTAAAAGCTATATAAATTTCTACAGCGTTGTATGTGTGTGTAAGCAAAAATAATGAAACAATTCTCTCGCCCGAATGCGCGCTAATCGATCGCAATGCCCGCGTACATAAATCCAAATTGCCCTCATCAACAAACATAACAAAAAAGAAAGAAAAAAAAGAAAGAGGAAAACATTAATAATAAAGCATCTGTGGGTACATGTAACATTGTCATAATACAAAAGATTCAGCAGCAGATACGCGTTGCGCGAGCCCGCCCAAAACGTCACGCGACGCGGCGCTTGATCGATCAATTAACCGATTATCAATTATTAATTATCCGGTCGTCAGGCCCCGCTCCTCCCCGCGACGTGACGAACGTTCACCCGGCAAAACGAGAAAATGTCTTCCGTCGAATTATCCTCCCGAGAGAACATCGAGAGGGAAAGAGATAGAGAGAGATAGAGACTTCGGGAGTCGAAATTAAATGCAGACGGGATTACGGGGTTAACGGGTAATTAACGCGTGCACTCGCATACACAATTACACCCATGCGCACACATGCACACGTGTATATATATATATATATATATATATATATATATATATATATATATATATATATACACGCGTACACAAGCCGCGATATCGGCAGAATCATCCGTCCGCGAATGACGTATGCGCAAATTCCTAATGCCTCGATGAGTTTAATTATTTACAGAAGAGTCTTCTATATGTCATACACGTGTACGTTTGTATGTGTGTGTGTTTGCGTGTGTGTCAAGTTCTCTTAATTCATTATACATAATACATATAGACTTAGTCTATTAATAGTACCATTACGCGAAAGCAAGCCCAAACGGCACTGAATCTCGCAAAATTTCATCGGTGAACCAGGTGACCGCCGAACGTTTATACGGCATCCTCGCGCGCACAAAAAATGCAGCCATACACATACACACTTGGCATTCTCTCTCGCTCTTCACGCTTGTCTTTCCTTCTATGTGTGATTTAATTATTCCTTAACCCTGCAGAGATTTTACACTCAGGACGAGTACATGCGAAATATCAATTTCGTGTTTTAAATTATTCAGCGATTCAAATCTGTCAAGCCTCACAACGCAGATATGTATATGTCTTGTTAATTAAAGTTGGGCCATGTCGATTTGAAATTACTTACAACTCGAAACGCGAAAGTAATACAATTTTACAATGATTTACTTTGTCGGTGTTCAGCAAACAATAATATTGCAATTGTAATTGTGGAAGTGAAGAAACGTCTCTTTAATATTTAATCAAAAATGATAAAACAATGCTTGCAATAACCGAGTGAAGCTATTAATGCTCTGTGCATATATTACAAATATCCAATTTATATAAAAAGCCGTAATAAAAACTATATATGCACGTATGGTCAATTTGACTGTCGAAAATTTGAAATTCAAATATTTGTAAAATTCTCAATATTTATATCATATCAATAATATAGTATCTTCTTATTTTTATTTGATTGTTTACTGAAATAGTCTAATTTGCGTTAGTTCAATTATATTTATAATCAAAAAGATACCTGCTTAGACTGACGAACAGAGACGAAGTATAATATATTCATTCATTAATCAAATTTAACATTACTTTTGCATTTATCTTTTAACTAGACTGCGAAAGCTCGTGAAATTCTACTGTAAGATCCAAACCAATTGTGGTCCAAAATGCATTTTCTTCAATAATAATAGAACAACGTTAGAGAGAAAAAGATGTTATTTAGAGTTTAAGAGACAATAATGCAGACAACAATTTTGACATTTTTGTTATCTCAAAACGCGTCTTAATATCGCTCGCTTAAAAAAAGGTTTATTGTAAAATTTCACAAACTTCCGCATTCTACCTACAGCATAAGTGCACTGATACATCAATATCCATTATTGCTATGTGCATAACGCCAATAAAATTAGAATCGTTACAACTGAAACTACGATTGGACAACTGTGATATAATAGGTATCAAAGGAACATGGAAGATCCTTTCAACTTACATAAAAAAAAAAAATCTCACGGTACTCGATGACGTCGCGAAGTTACACTAATCAACACAAAATTAAATATTTCATGTTTACAAAATAACTTTGTAGAGCTCAAACTCCTTGCAAATAATTTTTCAAATTGCACATAATGTCTCGTTACAATCTAATAAAATATACAACTACGCTTTGCGTTTCCACCAATCACTGCGCAGAGGTGACACAGGCGACTTGTGGCAATTGAATTAGCTTCTAAGCTCGACAAATGTGTTATCGTTAAATACATATGGAAACTAAAAAAATCAAATATATATACTGACGGCTCAAGAGAAATTCGAATTATTCACGTCGTATCGATTCCGAAACAATTTAAAGTGCTCGCCATACCGATGTGTGAGCGCGCTTTCTACTCTTGTGTTTCGGGATAATGGAGACCGCGCACTTTAGAAGAAATCTACTGGCCTCGATTGTGGTGTGTGCATATAATAGGACTAGGATTGGACGGGGGATGAGGGAAAAATTTTGATGGGAGTGGGCATGTCGACATCTAATTCCTTATAATTTCGATACGTATACGTATTAATATATGTATATATGCATACATAGTACCTTTTTTAATTTATTTATAGACTTCATGCTTAGAGAAGTAGGGAGATCATTAACGTGATTACCTCTTGCCATCGTTTTATGCAATATGTTCTTTTTTTTCGACATTCGAATAGCGTGACGTATAATTAACTTGCCTGTAATTGATCGGAAACGTTGATATACAATAGACTTAGCAACCAAAAACGACTTGTAACGTATAGATATATATATAAGTCCCTTAATTATATGTATATTATATATATAATTAAATATAGTGGTCTTACTATATATTCATCACGTATCACAGAAGGAAGTGCTAATAACTATAATATAATCTTGAACGCGTAATATACCTAACAACTCGAAATTTTTATGTTAATCATCCAAGGCATTGAAATGCTAGCTTTCAACGCGTTGAAACTTGAAAAGCACCATCTCGCTACGGCGCTGAGTCTATCCTATACCTTATAAACGGTGAAGTTAAATATATATATATATATCGTACAATTCGTACAAAAAAAAAACCGTCGAGATCGTGTTAGCGTCGAATCTGGAATTTCGTTTGCCGTTTGTGGTTTACACTTACGGTACATCAATATAAAACGTCGCGTTAGCGATCTTCCCACTTATCCCCATTCGTAAAACGTTCGCTCGAGTGTCATCGATCATCTCGCGGAGCCACGTACACCTACATAATAAACGTTCTGCCTCGCGGATTTCCTGACCGGCTCGATCGGAAAGTATAATTTGAAAGATCGTCGCGCACGCGCGCGTGTCGCGTATCGTGTAGCGCTCATTTACAAACATCGACCGCCTCCTGACCGTTTTTCTTTTTTTCTTCTTCTTCCTTCGATCGTTTAATTACCATTTAATGAATACGAAACTACTTACGATCAACTTCGCTAGACTATACAGAGTGCTACCAAATGTAGCGGACGGGTACGCCGGGACGCATCCGATCTCGTCACGGATGCAATTCTTAGTTTAAATTTTGTGTGTGTGTGTGTGTGTGTGTGTGTGTATGTGCGCGCGTGCGTGTGTGTGTGTGCGTGCGTGCGTGCGTGTGCGTGTCTGATACTGGACCTCTTCGAAGGGTAGGAGGACCGGCTTAATCGCGAGAATAACACATTGCTCTTCGCTCGCTGGGCGAACGCCTTAAAGACTAAACTCAGTCGCTCCCGTACGTACCCACCACCACCGCCACCACGGCTTCGTCGATTTATTTCCTAGATTCAATCCCGCCGGACTGTCTGATCGATTCGCTTCTCCGGCGGAACCGCGTGTTGCTTTTCGGCGATATTTTCCTTTTGAAAAAAAATCCAAATCGTTGAATGTATACCGACGAGTATGGCACTGTTTCGCATTGTACGATAGTCTTGCGTTTGGATAATTATATCCATGATAGAAACAAAACCAATCTGACTTTCTCAAAACGCAAAGTAGAAAATAGAAATGTATATTTCGCGCATAACATGCAGCGCAATATATTTCCAATCGTTTGTAATGAAGTTATATTGTTATCAGTTCGGTACAATGTAACGCAAAGAAGTTTAAGGACTTGCTAGACTTGCTGGAGTCCACTTGTCAGTGTGTTTCGCGTATATATCTACGCACGGCATGCCAGCGCGAAACGCATAATCGCGAAGCCACACCAGTTCCTCCGGCGAAGGGTACTTTCCGTCGCGTTTACGGGGCGCCCGATAAGGCGCGCCGACCGCAAGGCGCGCCGTGCACGGAGTGCCCTATGTCGCTACATTAATTTCTAATGCAATGTACACGAGAGAGAGAGAAAGAGATAGAGAGAGAGAGAAAGATATATGTATATATTATGTATATGTGTCTATTAGATATAACCGCGGCTCCGGAACGGAAAAAAAGATCGAGAGAGGAAAATAAAATACATCGTTGTTCGCAATTGCTTGAGTAAGGATATGGATCGAAAGATCGCTCCCGAATATCGTCGAGATTACGACGCTACATCGTCGTCGACCGGTGGTCGTACCGCTTCGCCACCGTCGTCGCTCAACCGAGTCAGAGTCCTTTCACAAAATTCGTTTTGGCTTCTTTTCGTTTACCTTAAACGTACCGCCGATTGGGACGTCGCGGCACAGATATGATACGTTGAGGGGGGTACAACTCGTACGAAGGAGGAGTGTGGAGGGGGGTGGGTGGTCCTGAAGGGCCTTCGTCGTCCTCTTCCGAATTTCTGCTTCCGTATACTCGCTCTTCCGCCACTTCTTTTATACCTCCGCGTTCTCTACTCTACCCTGGGTCAACGTAGAAGGGTACTCCTCTCTTCGCGTGACCGGATCAAACGGGACACCTTGTATACACGTTTCTCATTTCTTTATCGGTTTATCGCGACGGGGCGGTACTACGCCTCGACCTGATCCTCCGGGATCATTATGTCGGGCGCCATTGACAGGTCCTCCGCTATATCCTCGTCCTGGCCGGAGTCGTGGCCGTGGCTCTCCGAGTATTCCCTCTCGTCCGCCTGATCCTCCTCCGTTTCATGCTCCATGGGGCCGTCCGGCAGCTCGCGCTTTATTAATCTCGTGTGTTTCCCTCCTTCCGGACTCTGGCTCTCCTGCTTTATGTGCACGGCCGGTTCATCCAGCGGCGACCTGTTGAATCGACGACACGCGCGAACGTGTTGTATACGCTTTTATGAGTGGAAAACTTGCGAGAACGCGCCGCGCCGGTGTGTCGGAATACATATTTCATAGATCGCGGACAGACGCGCGCGCGGCGGTATATTTTTTAGCGACACACGGCCAACGGGGGAATAACGATTTCGTTTTTTCCCAGTATTGTTTCATTGTCGCGGCTTCGTGCGGTTTATCAAACTGCAACGGATAGTTTGTGTTTTGTGGAAAAGTCGCGCGTGGACAGGGGAGCTTTTTCACGGCTTTTGCGCGCGGCATGTATAACCCGGAATGGATCGTACAGACCGTCCGTAAACATGTCCGATGAATAAAATAAAATAAATTTCGCGATGTGTTGAATAAATAAAAGATTTTGGGCAGGTTTCGACAACATTATACCGTAAGCTGAAACAACATTTCGAAAATACGGGGGGAGGGGGAAGGCAGAAATGCAGATTTGTTACGCGAAAGGGTTATTGCGAGAATTTTATAATAACACTTTAGTCAATATTTTATATTTGATAAAATGTACTGTGAACGTTCGAGGGAATGAACGACGCGCTTAATGATGAACTTACATTAAGTCATTATGAGGTAACACATGTTCCTTATCAGGACTTGTCGCTGTTGACGTGCACATCGGATTCAAAAATCCCATGTTAGACTCCCCGAGTGCCTGGAAATACTCAAATTGCATTAGATGGTTAGTTATTACCGTCTAATACCATATATACAATCATTATTAGCTAATGACTATTTATTTAAAAAAAATTAATATACTGTAGAAGCTCGTAAACTGTCAGCGAATCTTTCTAAATGGGTGATTTCATTAATATAAAAAAAAATATCTATTTAATTATTTTCGTTATTACTTCAATACGAATCATTTAACTAACATAAGACAATAAATTACAAGAATTTATTTTCGGAGAATTTTCGTATTCTAGGAATTAATTATTAATAGTTACCTGCAGGTTGGCATTAAGCGCGTCACCGTACATAGTAGGACTATGCGTCAGCGTTGGGCTCTTCGACGGTACACCCCTAGATATTGACAGAGAAAAGTATGTTAATAATATTCGAAATTCGGCCTCGTGAGCATATATTTCCTGAAATCAATCACGTGTATGAATTTTCTTCAATCGTGTCAATGTTGGGACGGATCTGATAGAAAAGGAGGAGTAAAAGTTGAGTGTATGGTGTATTATGTGTTTGTGTGTATGTATGTATGCGTGTATTGGAGTAGTAGATGTATGTAGACGTATTAAAGACAAAAAGGAGAAAGATAGAGAAAGCGAGAGAAAGTGAAAGAGGTGTAAAGTGAAAGAGAAGAAAGAGAGAGAGAGAGACAGAGAGAGAGACACAAAGAGAATTATATAAATATGAAAAATGTATACATATAGATATATATCAAAAAGAGATTAAAAAAGAGCGAAAAAAGTATCCGAAATACCTCTTACCTACTTACAGTGCCTCATATCGTTTTGTCCACCGCACTAGTCTCATCGGTGATTGAGCGAGATTAGATAAAAATTACAGAGAGAAAGTTTAAAAAAAGCGCTCCGGTTTCGAAACTTCATAAATAAAATAGTAGCAATTTGATCTTTTTTTTCTTGCTTTCGTTCGTTCAATTTTAATTACATTAGTATTACATTAGTTTCGAAACAAACGTACTTATAAACGGCCACCAGGTTACCTGAGCTTACCGTTCACTTTTGATTTACCTTGCAAATTATTTAGTAAGTACTCGATTGTATGTATATTGCATAACAATCGATCACCCTTTTCTTCCCGACGATTTGCGAAGAGAAGTTCCTCGCTGTGTTTCTTGCAATTACCGTTAAATAATGGTAAATATACTCGGTCTTAACGTACTTATGTCATCGGAAATCTTGATGAGAAATTTAAAAATGCATGCCAAGAAGAAGATGAGAAAAAAGATGTCCTGCGACCGTTTATCAAGCAACAAGGAGCGCTGAGTAAAGAGAAAAATAGAAAATGGATAGTGAAGATAGAGGAAAGTCGATAGAGAGAAAGAGAGAGAGAAGTTAAAAGGAGAGATTGAGTAAAAGTAGATAAAATTTTAAAAAGTATTAAAGATGAATATATAAGTAAAAATTTTTCGATAATTATTATTATCGTTACATATTACTGAGATTTTATATTGAGTCCACATGGTACCTGTGATACAAGACGAGTCGCAATGATGAAGATCGAAGAATTCCACCCGAGGTTATAATTGTAACGCATAGTATACACAATTTACACATGCGCGAGTAGCCCTGACGTACATATTCACTCAAACCAAGAACCATTCGCTCATTGCGGAAGCATGATGTAAGATGCTAAGGTTTATTTTGCGATTCTCAACTTTATTTACCTTGGAATGACATTCGTCATTCCATCTTAAACATTTCAAAATTTTAAGAAAATATTCCCAAGTTTTCTTCCAGCATCAGCCATGTATCCCGTTAAAATTAATGTTATTTTGTTTGAAATTGATATTTAATATTTTTAATTTTTTTTCATACATATTTTGATATTTCAATTTTTTTAAATCTTTCTTTAATATTTTACATTGAATAGTTTTTTCTTTAAATAGTTTTTTTTCATTAATCATCATAATATAAAAAAATAAGATTTTTTTATTAAATAAGCACAGCAAGTTAAATTGCAAAGTTGAGGAATTTTCAAAAGTGCGTGTAGTAGATATTTGCAACGTAGTTGAAAATCGCAACAGATTGCAAAGAAAATTGCATCCGATAAAAAACTGAAAAAACAGAACCTCACCAGAATGCTACACTGCTACGTCACTCTGTAGAAATGAAATAAAAATGACGAACGTAAAACATTACATACGTCTATTAACGTCATAGCAATTCTACGAATCAAAAGAAGAGAAAAGTAATTCTCTACCATTATGAGAGAACCAAGGAACAAACAGAACAAAAGAAGAAACGGAAGCAAAACTTCAACACAAAAGAACGCTTGCCCGCAGAAACACACCACTTTCATACGAGACGCTACGCAAACGGCATTACATTAAGCGTCATACGTTTATAAGCAGTGTTTTTCAAAGTGGATAGGATAGTTTAGAAGACTTCATCCGGGAGACGGATATTGAGGATTCACGGTGGTACATGCGAGCAACTAATAAACACATTGGAGATCCGGCAACTCTGACCAATCGTCCTGTTGTTGGTACGTTGCAGGATCGTGCAGGATTCAAGCTATCACGGAGTGCAAGAGCCTCGGGTTACAAAATACTGGTGACGTATACGGGTATGTCCTAATGAACTCTTGGACGTCATTTGCAAAAGTGTGCAAAACTTGCACGTCTTTCGACATACAGGATCCTATTATATATATATATTTTTTTTTTTTTACGAAAAGATGTCGATTTTGTTTTTCTAGCGATAGATATTCTTTGACCAACTTAAAACTAATTTTTTATTAAGATTGGGCTGAAATCTCTTTTCTTCTAAATCTTAAACATGAACTATCTTATTTAGAATGATGAATTATTTTCTATATAAATACAATCTCTTTAAATTCAGATTTAAAACGTTAAATGAAAAACATTTATTTTATTTACCTATATACGTGTAAAAATAATTATTTCGATATTTGTCACAGGAACAATTTTAAAATGATCAAAGAATATGTATCCAAAAGTAAATTTCAGAATACTACGTGAAATTTAAATGCTTTACATTTATGTTTAACTAACTATGACAATTTTATTTTGTTTTTGCAAACCTCAATATTACACGAAATTTTATTTGTATTTGCTAGTGACATATGTTATGGTCTAGTAAATAAATATTACATTAAAAAATCAAAATTATATTTGAAATTTTTAATAATAATTTTACATGTCGTACCTGTACGGTTTCAGGATAAATGTATATTGAAAAACTTGAATAAAAAATTGCACACTTGTAACAAATAAACGAGCAAGGTAATAGTGGGATGATACTACTGTCCAGTTTTTTTAAGGAATCGGACTTTAAAGGCGCTCGAGGCAGGCATGATGCGGAAATCATTTCCAGAGGGATTGGACAAACTGCATGGAGCTATTTCCTGCTGCCTTGGCATAATTTCAAATTACATCACGATATTGAGCTTAAAAATAGAAGAAATTTTCTTACAAAGTATATTGACATTTACGACTGATTGTGAAATCTAACTAATCCAAATTGATTCTTGCATTTATAATTGCAGCTGTTAGCATCGCAATAAATAATAATAATAATAAAAAAAAAACACTTACTAAAGAAATTATTCTAATTCATGAAACCTTAACAAAGTAGTGCTATAATTTAAGTTGCTGTACACAATATATATTGTAAAATCAAAATCAAATTAAAAATACGTTTTAATAAAATATTAACCAAATTAAACATTAAATCAAATAGTTATTTTCTAAAATTTTATCGTTTCCACATATACATCTCATTACATTAATCGTTACGTTAATCCTTCACACATTATATAATACTAAAAGTTCCTTCATTTATTTTGCAGTTTAATACAAGAATTAAAGAATATGACGAAGTAAATTTGCTGCTTCGAGGCAAATTTTTTTTATTCCAAAGGGGCATGTCATTACGTCGATATAACAGTAACAGCTGCAACCGTGCACAACCGCGGAGCAAGTGCACAAAGACTTTTCAAAGGCAGCAGGTTGTAAAGCCCATTTAGTGGTTCAATTTGTAGACAACGACCAAGCGAAAACGTCCCGGTCGCCGCGTTTCATAAAAAAGTACCGCGGTAAGGTCAGAACGTCGCGCCAGCCAGCCAGCAGAATTCTAAAAAGTGGTAGTGCTTACTGTGCGGAGAGGTGGGGTGGAGTGGGTGATGGGGTTGGGTCATATTTCCTGGGGCGGCCGCGGGACAGATGCCGCCGCTTTACGAACTCGGCGTCGTCCACCATCCAGAATGACCCGAAGTCGTCCTCATAGCGCACAAAACACTTGTGCAATGATAGATTGGTGCGGATCGCGTTCTGTATACACAGACAAGACCACCAAGAATAGAGAAAAAGAGAGTAAAAAAGACAAAGGTTTCTGGTTGTTTTGTTTTTTTTTGTTTTGCAGTTGATTGCGCATTTTCGCTTTTCTTTCGTTCTTTCTTAATTTTGCGCACACGGCCCTCGCTCGCCGCTTGCTACCCTTCCATACGAAAGGGGGGTTGTGTGTGGCCTCACGTATCGCGCGGGGCCGGTTTTTGCTTGCCGTCGCGTTTCACGGGAGACCCCCCAGAGACGCGCCAGCGAGCGCTGGCATGTCCTCTCTTGCCGACGGCTCCGTCGCATCTCTTATTCGTGTGTCGCCAGGACATACGAGTGTGATCTCGGCACGATCTCGGAAACGTCGACTTTTCAGAGAAAGAGAGAGAGAGAGAGCAAAACAGCAGCACAGATTCGCAAAAAGAAGGGATGGACAAATCAGAGAAAATAAAAACAGAGTACGCAGAGTAATAATTAAAAAAAAAAAAAGAACGTATGTAGTAAGGCGGCTTCCTCTCACTACCTGACAAAGTGCAACACTGCGGTTCTCACTCTGTTTCCGTGGGGGGAGTAGGGCAATTCCTGCTTCCGGGCATCCGGGGGGCTCTTTTCTCGAGAGACTAGACTCGGGCCAGAGAGAGAGATACCTGGGCCCCCGCCGTGTTCTCGATCGGGTTAGTCGCTGCAAAGCTCACATGCTCGTTATGGAAAGCAACTGCACACGGACGCACTACGGATTTTTCCCATCTCCAAGAACGTGTGATTAGCATCTCTAAACTCTCTTTCTATCTGCGTGTTTGTTTTTATTTTTTTTTCTGTTTCCCTTCATCTCTGTCGTGGCTCTTTCATCGGCGACGCACTCTCACGCAACATCCACGCACCCACCAGACTGCCGACTACCATCACACGACGACGGGCAAGTATAAGAAATTCACACACACGCGGGTTCAAACACAGTGATGACGGTAGTTTCTCGAGTATATCTCTCAGTCAGCGTAAACGTAAACTTATTTGCGAAGCTACGTGAAACTTTCCAATTGAAAAAAAGAAATAAGGAACTCGAATAAAACTGTGGTCTTTCGATCTCGTTGCGAGTGTACAAGTAGCTCTTATCAGCGAATTGTACGAACGGCACCTCGAGAAACTGCGTTATTAGCAACAAACATACAGACAGACGACACAAGCGACGTACAGTAAAGATTGTTATGGCGTTTTTAGGTGTATAAAGAGGTTTTTATACACACACAGATATCTATACGTATGAATGCGCACGTATCAAGTACAAACAGGTACAGTATAACTATGAAGAGAGAATGTAAAACAGGGAACACGACGTAGACATTTTGTGTAGGCGGTATCAAATATATATATGATTAAAAAAAGAGAAGTAGAGAGAAATGCACAGGAGAGCGTGCGTGTATGTGCGTATACATACATACGAAGGCCACAAACGCACTGATACGTGCGTTCGCATACCTTTAAAAGTCGCATATATAGAAATATATATATAATATATAAAACAGATATATATTAAAAATACATATATATGAAAAGAGCTATATATATACGTATAAGACAGAATGTTAAATATTCTTAATATATATATAAATATGTGTAAATATATATAAATATCGATATATAAAAATATGTATAAAAAGTATGTAAAAAGTTATATAAATATGATATAAAACTGTAGAAAATTGGCAGTATAAGGGGCTGGGGGGCGGGGGTTGGTCAGCGACTATAAATGTAGTAAAAGCGAGTATAAAAGAGAGAATATAAATATGATTTAAGTATATATGTAAAAAGACAGAGAGAAAGAGAGAGAAAGTGAAGTATAGATATATCAAAGGATTTCGGGGAACGGTGGGGAAGTTTGTGATCGTGAGAAACTATCCCCTCGATACACTCGGGAGAGGAAAAGAGTGCGGGGGGGTCTTCGAGTCTGTTGATCTCCGCTCCGAAAGAAGAGGAGCTGGAGAGGAGGTGGTAAGAAATATCGGTGTGAGAGAAAGAGAGAAAGTGAGAGAGAGAGATAAAGAGAGAAAGAGAATAAAGAGAGTAAAAAGCGCGGTTGTAATTATTTTTTTCTGATCGATGGGGGGGCATGGGGGGAGGGGCAACGTACCCGGTCGTGCTGCAAGCGCGCTGTGGGCGTCTCTTGTAAAACTCCACTTCGTCCACCGTCCATACGGCCCCTTTCACGTTTTCGACTCGCATGAAACATTTGTGGAGAGACAGGTTGTGTCGCACTGCGTTCTATACAAAATAATACACAGACTAAATAAGCAACGCAAAAAACGAACGAAGCCAACTCAATCACGGTCCCGGTAGTCGGCGAAGGGGGAAAGGATCACGGTCGTTTGTGGCGATTCGTGGCGCGCGTATGTGCATGTATGTATGTATGTATGTATGTGTGTTACGCAGAGGCGGTGGAGAGTCCTCCTCGACGATCGGGTGATGATGACCGATCACGCTGATGAGGCAAGAATGGATGATGATCGTGAGACCGAGGCGCGAGGTTGCTAAGTGAGACGTGCGATATTGTATACGTGTGCCGTATGGATTTGTCGAGGTGCCAAGGTGCCAACGAGCAGCGTTGCGAACGATCCCGTTGAGTACTCGAGCCCAGAAACCCTGATTAAATACATCTCTCGATGTTTACTGCACAACGACGCGTATCAATATCTCGAGTTAATATTATGCGAATATATACGCGGATATTTCAAGCTTCCCGAGCTCTTTAATTCATACGAAGTTCTCAACGTCGTAACTGGTTATATCTAATAAAATTTATTACGATAATAATAAAATGGGATATAGATGGAATTAGACAAAAAAAATTATCTATCAATAAATACCGAAGCGACGAGCTTTTAATGTTCTTACCGTGATACTAAAATCCATTTTTCCAATATATTGGTGAAAATATAACAAGCGAAAATAATTAAAGTGTCGTAATTTTTTCAACAAAAGTTATTAATCCCATAATGTTGTGTTTGCACATTTCACGTTACGCATGGCATATACTGCATTCACGCATATACTGCAATGTTACAGAGAAGTTACAATCGAGCGCCCGAATATTTTATGACTCCGCGTACTTTCGTAAAAAATAGCAGTTTTAGTCTTATAGTTACGACCTCGATCTATAACCTAACCCAGATCTTGTATTTCCTCGTTTTAATGCGATTCAAGTCTTTGTGGATAATAATTTTGACCTGGATCAATTTAAGGATGACCCGTTCAACAACGCTGCTCTTGAGAGCTCATTTCAGCCATTTTTGAAGACGCGCGCGAGAAATGCGTATTTATAATACATATTCAAAAACAGATATATATATATATAAATAAATTATAAAAATATCTTCGTGTATTTAGAGAAAACAATATATTAGACAGAAATATTCTCAAAAAGTATATAATAGCTTCTATTTTATTTTTAAGCAAAAATTTTTCATTAATGTTATATAATATGTAGATTGTCAGGTATAATATTTTAATTCGCGATAGAAAAATTAATTTGAATAAATTTCAAGTTCTATTAAATTAATAATACTAAAAAAATTAATTTGAATGCGTCATTCGAAGATGGGTGCAATGGCTATTTAGCATTCTTGAAGAATACAAGCAAAGCTGCCACCTTAAACTTAAATGCTGTCGTAGGGTTTCTATCTTTCTTTTTCATTTAAAAACATAAACGATTAATATTTTCATAGCGTTCTTAAGAAAGCTGTTTCTTCTCGGGACGTATGTAAAATAGAGTTTCAGAAATGCTAAGCAAAAAAATCAAATTATGCAAACTAATGTAAACTATAAATATGAAATAAAAGCAGCGCAAATTACTACGCAAGTGCAATAGTGTGCTGCATTTAAAAAATATATTATCTGTAAATGCAATTATTCACGGAGCTAATTTTATTATTTGAAAAGGATCGAGCAAGTTCTTCCAGGTGGCAGCTAACGAGGAGGTACGGAAATCCGCATCGCGTTGTAACATTCACAAAACAAATAATAAATAGAAAGTCTATAGCCAATAAAATCAAAGTAAGAAGTATGACGCGAGATATCCCATTGATAATAATGTGACAACGGCGACAATGACGATGATGATGATGTCAGTGATGATGACCGCTGTTATTAGGCACAGAAGGAAACCGGCAGTAAAATCGCGACGTCGAAGGCCGCATGAGGATGAAACGAACCAAAATATGATTAATCGAAAGAGAGACACGGTTTGTGGCATTCCTTTATCGTTAATGCACAGCTAGTCATCTAAATCTAGGGGCAACGACAACAATTATTCATGCCGCAGGGCGCCGAATATGTAAAATTCGATGAGGCCGCGCGACGCGCGGCCGCTCGATGACGTGTGTTTGTCGCCATCGTCCGCTATCGCCAACGATGTTGATCCTCCTCTCGGCTGCTCCGCTCACTCTTTCTCTGTCGCCCTCCTCCGCTCTCTGTGGCAAACCTGTTTGCGTGGTTTTTTTTTTTTAATGTTTTCATATACACATAACCATGCGAGGCGAAGCGTCATGGCAAACGTCAATTACTTCCACGCACACTCGCACACACGCAAAAAAACGCACGCGCGCAAAACACTCTTGCCAACAAGCGGTTTGTCACGTCGGCTTACAAATCGATCATGAACCATCGGCACGTTGTATTCGTTGCTTCTTTTATGCCTGAGGAGGTACACGTAAAATATGTCAATTTTTATTATCGCCCTTTGACGTTTTTTTTTTAATCGGTAATTTTATTCGATTCATTCCAAATTAAGAAAAGAATGTGTACGTCGTAAATCATTCAGGATACGCTCGTCTCTCTTGTGTCAGAATAAAGCGATTCATGAAATCTTCATTGAACACACACGTATCTCTACTATATTACTTAATTAATTATGCTTTTGCAGGTAATGCGCGATTTCTCTTTCAGAGATACATTGGCAGCAATCATTTTAAACGACAAAATAATCGACGTAATATGCCAGTAGGAATATATAACGTGAATAATTATCCGTAAGGATATTTTAATTCTATTTACTATTGAATTAGACTATTAGTTTACTATTAGATTTAAGAGGATTGCTGTTATTCTGACACGCTATTGAGTGATCTGCGAACGAGGGGGAAATGGAGAAAGAATATAATGACAGATGGCTCATAAATGACTTGTAATATGTCACATTTCACATGTTTACCAGTTTCTCCCCCCTTATTCGAGAAAGCAATACAACTATCATTACCAGCTGCTCTGCCCGGCACGTCACTTAGCCTGTTAATCCAAATCAATACATATAATTATCCGAAATTCTCGATAAGCTGTCATCCTTTCTTGTTAAGCGCATTCAGCTTAATCTGGTATTCGTACAAATACAAATTGCATGATTGTTTTCGGGAGCCTCGTGGCTCCCGTTGCACAAACAAATTCGTGCTAACTTCATCCACTTAAAAGAGAGTTATCTCCACTTTATCGTAACTCTCCTATCGTAACGCTATTTAAAGATTACGTTTGAAATATACTTCAGTTTTCTTATAAAAAAATAAAATTGCTAGAAGAAATTTGGAATATTTTACGCTTTGTAAAAATTATTGGTTGCAAGCGTAAAAAATTAGAAAAAATTGTAGAAGTTACATTTTGAATATATCTCGAATCTCAAGTCAAAAGCTACTGTTTTTTGTTTAATTTTCTTGCTTTGAAACGATTGTGTAATTATACAACTGGAATTATAAGATATACCTTCCACGTTGCTGCGTTGCGCCGGAAGTAGCAGAATGTGTTTTGGAACCAGTTGTAAATTTCGTTGAGCGTCAGCTGCTTCTCGGGGGATTCGATGATAGACTATGAAAAGAGCAACATTATAATAACGTTAACTTGTTCTATTCTGAGCGGCAAAACATCGTAGTCAAAGTATTTAAGTGTCCACAAACGAAAAGATTCCTTATGTGTATGTTCGTATATCGTGTGAAATTTTTGATTGCAATATTACATAATAATTTCAAGAATATAATAATTCTCTAATAAAATGTGGTAAATCCAATTAATAAATAATAAAATAAATTTTACTGCATCTAGATAATTATATCATATAATGAGCTCTTCAATGTAAAACGTTATTCAATCGGAATAATATTTAACAGAACGTGCCAACTTTAATAAATAAATTGAAAATTAATTTTCAGTATATTCCGGAAATTATTAAAATAATAATGATAATATGCACATTCAACCCCTATTTTATGTTGTTAAAGAAAGAATCCCCCCAGGATAATTCGCTATGTTAATACGACGCGATGGGAAAATATGATATTCGGAGAATCCTTCGGCAATTGTATTAGCCACTCACCTGCCGAATTAAGGATGCATACGTGAACGGTGGTCTGACGTCTGCATTCTTGTAGAATTCCCTATTTCGCTGAATTTCTGAAACCGGACGCAACAAATTTCATTTACCCATGTGCATCATTAAAAACGGTAGCGGGTCGAAAGCTAATATTCTCGTTACTGATAAGAGAAGTAATTATGGGTGTTTTAATTACATCTTTTGTGCAAAATGATCTGAACGGTGGTATCACAACAAACAAGCAAATATTGTACCGATCACGTGAAATTATAATAAAATTTTGCTCTTAAACGCTGAGTAAACTAAGCTGTGCGCATTTTTCGCGGTATTTCCCTGTATTCAGAGAAATTAAATCGATTTGTATATTTGTACATTAAATTTTATATCGATTTTTCATGAAAAGCTACGAGTATACATTTTGAACTGCAATATGATGCAATAAAGGTACCTATATTACGTAGATATATCAATTTTATACTTATTATATTTTTTATTAAATAACGTGTTCGTTAAAATAATTTTATCTTTTCAGCGGACTACTAAACTTTAAAATAAGAATTAATGATCAAATGAATTTAAAACTATATATGCAAAATACATCAAAAATCGGATATTCTTCTAAAATAATAATAATTTTTATATTTGCAGAAATATCTGCAGATGCATGCTTTTACAAAAGAAATTATATAAAAATCAAAAGAAGGCAATCCAAATATTGAAGTTCTTCATATTTAATTTTTTCACAACTACTGTCTTTTTTTTAATAATTATATATACGCTATAATATTGATTTATATTTGCGCATTAAAATTGAAACTTCTTTGCGTGTGCAAAAAATAAAGTAATTCAAACCAAATATATGGATCACCTCTTTCACGTTTAAAAGAAAAGCAACCAGAAAATGATAAACTGCGGCCAATCAATCTATCCAATTCCAAATATTTGAGAGGTTTTGAAATCGTTATCTTAATTGTCTCGGGAATTATCAGTATAAAAAAAAACTGATGCTACGTGAAGAGGCGGGGAGGTGAAGACGAAGAAGGGAGGTGAGCGCTCATGCAAGGTGCATCCTTCCGCAAGAAAATTTGTAAGCCACAAAAGGGAAATGTGGAAAATAGGTTGACAGTACCTTGTTGGACGTCAAGGCCAGCACGCTCCAGCATGTAGGGCAGCCCTACACGGTGGGGAGGGCGGGCAGCACAAGAAATAAGGAAACAACAAAAGCATCAATAAGAAAGAGGTTCGAGCTGGCGGATGAAAGAATTTATTTTTCATCTCTCGTATCATTTCTTTTTTTTTTTCAACGCATAAATTTCCTCGCATCCCTCTCTAAACACCTATAATGCTCGTTCTACGCCGCCAACAAGGTGTCGAACACTGTCGCTTTCACGTGACATAGTCGCTACCATAAGTAATCTGTGCGTGTGGTACAATGTACGACAGGAAGAGGCACGAGACCAAGAGAGGACCGTAAAGAGCACTTGCTACAGGATCGGTATTTTCTTATTTCGTCGGAGTGAATATGTTTTTCTAACGAACCTCGAAATGCCAAGGGTATTTTCAAAAAAATACAATTAATAGATATATAATTATCCTATTATAGAATTAAGAATATATATTGTCTTATAAAACTACACTGTTTATATAAAGAAAATTAGGAAATATTAAACGACATCGTACAATTTCTTATCTTTTCTCAACTTAGCAATGCTTATCATTTTTCATTTTTCGTTTTAATGCCATAGCATGATAATATCATTATTTATTTTCCTGATTTTCCAGACACGCAGATCTATGATGTAATTTGAAAAAAGAAACAGCCTCTCTTATTAATAATTTAATAAGAGTTGCGTCGTAGATAAAATTTTTTTAGATGGCGTTTCGAAGCTCGCGCATCACTCCGAGTATGATCTTGTGTTATCGTTACCTTCGTTAATATCTATTCCAGATCTATCGACGGCTACTCTGCGCCTTACAGTGCCCTCGTCATACAGTCCTACGAATAGTATTTCATTTCTGAATTGTCATTTTTTTCGTTTCACCTTGCTTTGAGACGATATTAATCCACTTTCAAGCTCTCGTATGCATTTCAAGCACAAGGCTATTTCGGAAAATGGTTACATCGAGAACATCTTAATTAAGGGCGTTAAATTTACAGAATATATACGATCCTATAAATTAAATAAATAAAACATAAAAACTGTACAATAGAAGATGTACAATAAAAGAAAACTATTTAATTAGGAATGAATTAATATCACTAAACTCGGTATAACAAATAGATATTATACAGATAATGTATATATGTTTCGCAAATCGTAGTTAATAATACCATATGCCAGGAAATTTTGATAAATATGCAATATATATTGTAACAAATATAGTTTTTCTCTCTCTTTCAACTTTCTCTTAACACAATAAAGTTTTATATTCAATTGTATATAATATTGCTTAGAGGAGGATGAAACGTTATGTGTGTTTTGTGGACAAGGAAGGGAATGTATTAGTCATTATGTAAAGAAATGTGATATGACCAAGGATTGGTTTATAGAGTTAGAAAGAAATAAAAGAGAAATATTTTCGAAAGAGAATATGGAATGATAAACTGGATAGTATAAAATTAAACGTGTTAAGAAAATTATGGAGAGAAAAAGAGTAAGGAAGAATAGGTACCTAGTATTAAGTACGATGGTTGCGTGGGATGGAATGGTATGAGTGTGTTAAGTAATTTTGTAAACCAAGTCCACTTCTTGGCATGTAAGTTGTAGTTAATAAATTATTATATGTATACACAATTAAATATAAAACTGTGTTTTATTAAACGTATAAAACAAATCGTTAATTATTCAATATTCTTTAATGCATTTTTGTAAAAATTCTAATTTTTGTATTAATATGTAAGCTAGCGACTAACGAAACATACTATACATTATGCATTGATATTTCGACGTACCAACAATTTCTTAACACAGAATCAACCATTTTCCTTGAAACGGGTAAAACGGAAGAGCTGTTGCAAAATTGATCTTAAAACAAAATTCATCTTGGTAACGCAAAATGTGCGATTCTGGCCCTTATTAGTCCTAGAAGTTATACCGCTAGCTCAAATATCTCACCTGTTAGACGAGATAATGAGAGATTATGAGACGAAGAGATGACCTTACCTCCTGCCAAAGAAAGAGCTGACTTATCGCTGATGCGCCGTCTGATTGGACCAGCCATACTCGGCATGCTACCAGGCATGTTGGGCATGGGCGGTAAACTGGACATGTTGGGTATGGTCGAAAGTGGCGGCATCGGGGCACTGCCAAGTGCCCCCGACGGTGGTAGCTGAGCACCCGCGGGCGACCTCACGGCGGACACCAGCGCGGACATGGATACCGGTGACACCTGAGAGACCCCGAAATTAGGTGGCGGCTGGCTCATCAGTGCGGTGGAAAAATTTAGCTTTGGTAAATTCGAGCCCGTCTGAAAAAGAGAATTCCCGAAAGCATGGAAAACGTGCCAGAGGAAAATGATGAATAGAGATATGAGCGACGAATCGGGTATAAACTATATTGTCGAACGGAAAATAATCATTTTAGGATTATTAATGCGACGAAAGAGAATTGCAAAGAGCTAGAAAGAGGACTTTATGCAATTCGTATACGTCGCAGAGCTACTTCACTAATTTTTCACAAACTCAGAAAAATGTAACAATTTTCTCTGCGGTTGTAGCTTTTAAAATCATTAAACACAAATTTAATTTTATAGATAAAAAACATTGTAGGTAATATGTATTTTCTTTTCATAAGTCTCATAAATGTAGTCTGTATATTAAAAGCACTTAATATGAATATGAATATCAATATATGCATTCTGCAATATGGATATCTTATTACATATCGCAGTGGCGTACAAACTACACGAGCAATCTGATCTTCGTGGCGGAACTACTCACACAGCCGCGTTAAAATAATTAAGCCGTCGACCGCGTCGAGCGGTTGTCGTTGGCGCAGAGCTAATGCGATATTGGTATTCTCCGACTGCCCAACTTGTTAGGGGTTTTAATTAAGGCGATATAAAATTACCGCGGCTCCGATGAATTATTAATGCAAACTTTATGTATAAATTAGCACTCGACTCGGCAGCGCGTTAAAACTGAAATTCGCGCGTTGTTGTTAGCCGGCTCCGCGAGGAGCTCGTAAAATCTTTCAACGAGCCGGTCTGTCGTGAAAATCCGGCTTTACGATCTCATAGCAATACCGCAGCGGAGAGAAAGTTTACGCATCGCGGTCGGACCGTTTTTCCAGGTTTGGCTTTCAGTGTCCATTCTACAGCGAGAACTCTTAAGTGTATTATAATTGCGGCTTACGATAAAAATTTTCTTTTGTAATTCATAGAAGATTAAATTATTTGCTATAACAATTAATTTATTGTCTTCTTGAGGGTGAGAGATTGAAATAAGACAGTATTTATAAATTATTCTCATTAATACAATAAGTATTCTAATCTATAAATTTTGAACTATGAGAATAACGTTGAAAAAATTGAATATCTAGAATACGATAGTTAAATCTCAAATACCTTTTTTGTAAAAAAGAGTGTATACGGGAGAAATTAATGTTATCGCATGTTTTTCTTCATTATAGCAATAAATAGTTAAATAAAGTAATAAAATAAAATAAAGGAAAAAGTGTTAAAGAGCAAGAATTATAAATATAATAAGGAGAATTTACCGATGACTCGGATGACTTTGGCGGTTCCGGGGAAGCCATTTGTTTTGCCATATGCAAATGATGCATCATGGCGCCTAGTCGGTCTCGTTCTTTTTGCAACTGAATTTCTAGCTGCGACACTACTTGCATCTGGACCCTGGCTTGCGCTGTCGATCGGTCATCCAATGTGTGCTCTGTATTTAAGTGTCTGCAATATTTCGAGATCAATTACAGTTTATTTCAATTCAATATACGTTGCAGTTTTAATCAACGCAACCATAAATATTACGATGTTATATTACGATAAATAAAATTAAGAAAATGCTAATTATGCAAGATTAAATTATTCCGTAATATTTTAACATTGTAATCATTTATTGATCCTTCGGTTAAACTGAATTAAATAATAAAGAGAGCATATAAGCGCAATAAAATTATATATAAAATTAAAATAAATTGATTAAATTTATTATCGTTAACGTTTATGTTTCATATACATAGAAATTTTATTTTAAGTTATTTAACATTTTAGCGTAATTTTTCTCGTTGTGACAGGTCTAGTATACTATTAATTTAAAAGCTGCAGTCTTCAACCCAATTCGGCTTTGAAGTAATTTATAAATATTTAATCAACTATATGAAACACTCCTCTATATTTAATAAATAAATAAAATACGGAAAGAGTAAGGGAAAGACAGCCACACAATTATCTTGCAAGAGTCACAAAAAATCTGCGCGTCAGAAAGCCACGAAAAATCCCGAGCACGTAACGCTTCCATTCTCCAACTACGAGAACTCAAACCCCCAGGAGACGGCAGGACAGAAAATTAAGCTCCGCTGCGTCGAAGATAGAGAAGATGGGAAGAGGGGTGCCAACAACGCCAACAAGATTCCGTATTTAAGAATTTCCGTAATCCTTCTTCGTCGACGGAACGGACGGCTGTATCGACGAGAGTGGAGCAAGGGTGGCGAGAGGAGAGCGGGAGAAAGCTCGGTCGGTTGAAAGAACGGGAAGATGCGGGAAGGTCGAGGGAGTTTGAACGGACGCGAACTGAAGAGAGAGAGGGACAGAAAGGGATTAGACTGAGGGGCATAACGATGCGGTCGAATGTCGTGAATATTAATGAGACAAAGGTAATTAGCGTTTTTCTTTTTTTTTTTTTTAAGTAACGGCTTGTTTGAGGGAGAGTTTGCACCGAGACGAGCTACGTGATTACGAAGGAGTCTCTCCGGATGGGATGGAGCCGCTGCGGTTGCGCCTCGAAGCCGATGAGCGAAAGCGCCTGATGTCAATGAGATACGCTGACACGAGCGATTTTTCTACACTTTCTTCGCCTCATTCTCCCCAATTTAATTACCGACTTTATTCCTCCTATTTCTTCAGCTTCTCGTATACGAGAGGTATTCGAGACTTCTTTTCCGCGTTTACCTGTCTACGTGGAAACAGTTTACCTCTCTAAAATATATTGCATTATTGACAATAAGTTCGGACTTGTGTAGTTTAACGCAAATTATGGATATTTTTCGATTATTAATTGAATAAATTACGATAAATCTTATTTGTTACTTGGTATAGCTGGAGACGATTTTTAATAAACGGCACATATAATTGTGAGATATCAAAAATACATTAAATATATACGAAAGAAATAGTTTGGAAAACTCACTTAAGGAATGCTTGATAGTCTTCACAAATTACTTCACAGCCTGGCCACTTGCAAACCCCATGGCCATAGAGGGGATGGACCTTGTCGTTGCAGGAGGCATCCAGCGGCTTCTCGTCCATCGGCGTTGTGCCGTTTACCTCGGACCGTCGGCTCGAAGCTATCGAATTCAGAATGCCTGCGATAGTTCGGCAAACGAACGTCGCATTCGCAAAAGTAAAAACATAAGCATGGAGAAATTAGAGTAGAAAAAAACGAGCAAGCTCGAGATCATCGAGAAAAGCGTGAAACTATTGTTTTACCGTTCAATCCAGAATTGGATTTCGACACGTTGGAATTCTGGTGGGATTCCGGTGTATCCGAGGGCTCTGACTTCCATGACGGGAGAGTATCACCTGGCGGTGCCAAACCTGCTTGAAATTTAGAAAGAGGCACCTATTTATATAAATGGCTAAGCGAAAAGATGACAATCGTCAATTTATTTGTCATAGTTTGCATGAAAGTATGTCTATCGTCAATTTTTGTAATTAAAATAGTGTTAAAGAAAAATTTAATTGCTTAGAAAAATATATCGCATCGCATAATAATATCAGGTCGTAAGTCTTAAAGAAAAATCCGCATCATAGATACTTAAACGTCATAGTAAACAATATTGTGCGTCTCAAAGCAGTCACGTATCAAGCAAACATGCGTGCGGACGAAAGATGAAGCGACGCGTCGACGAGGAGGCATAGGAGGAATACGGAAGTGCGAGAAGGGAGCGAAAACTGAAAGAAATGGTAGTTCAACTTCCGAGAGAGAGAGAGGAAAAAAATAAAGAGAGGACAAAGCGTGCAGTGCGGGAAGGCTGAATTCAGGGTCAAGGATGACAGTCAGATTCGTTTCATGTATGAACTCTCCATGTATGAATTCGAAGCGCAAACCATGGTGAATCACGGTTGCTATTTCGAACAGTCCTCTCGAATATATATGTGTCACGTATACGTATGTGTCAGAGAGAAGAACATCATTGGAGTAAGCTCCGGCATGTAATCGAAACGTTTCTGCGTGAAAAGTTTTGTCCAGGGTGAAAAGCAAGAAAGAGAAACACAAGGGAGAATGGAGGAAGAGAAGAAAATGAAATTAAAATGAAGAAGTAAAAGAGACGTAGCTCGTGGAGGTTCAAAAGGATTGTACAGGAGATGCTGGATCGTTTTAGTGTAAAACCAAAGGGATGCCTCCAATTTCAAAGCTTACCTTCGTCTTTGTGCATGTGCTGCTGATGACACGTGACTTCCACGACACGAGTGTGTCACGCTGCAAATACATTGCACGCATATGTCTTTTGTTGCGGCGTGTGATATTGTCTTCGTACGAAGTTTATGCGATGCAATCGTGTTAGAAGGTAAAAAGGCGTGTGACAATAACATGCGAATTAAAAATACATGGTTGAATAATCCTTTTATCACGAACGTGAACGTGCGTTGATGAAAACGTCGATTTCCTGATGATAGAGATACGTACTGACGCAGAATGCGTGCAAGACATTAAAACAACGAACGATTATCTTTGAAAAAGTTGTTTACGTAATTGCAAGATACAAATATCATTTATGAATCGGGAAATAGGAAGTCTCGATCATCTTTTTGAAGAATTCTTCGTTTTATATGTAAAGAATAGAGAGAATACAGCGAATATATGTGCAGTGTTCTTCTAATATTTCGTCTAGAATATTTTTTAAATATATTTTATTGTAATCATGAATATGTCTTATGCCCACAATACTTTATCAATATCAATAATCATATCTAAAAATTATTTAACTGCTAAAGCATGCCAAAATATTTTCAATCAAGCACATTAATTTTGTTGCATAAATACCTGAAGAAGGGTTATGACCCTGAAGACTCAGTCCTTGCTGCAATAGATATTGCCTTTGCGTGATCTGCAGTTGCTGTATCAGCTGCTGCTGCTGAATCGCTAGTTGCTGGAGAGGCGCCGATGCCTTCTTCTTGTCCGCCGTTTGCAATAAATGCGTCTGTTGAAATAAGTTCAGCTGCAATTGTTCCTGCAGTTGCTGCATTGCCTGCTCCAGTTGTTTTTTGTTGAGTTCCGCGAGTTGATGCTGATGCTAAAACAAATTTGGCGGTATTACAAAATGTAAGTATATTTTATATCACTTTATCAGCCCAATGTATTGACGTTTATATCGTCATCATAATATATAATTGACATAAGAAGCGAACGATTTGAGCAAAAGAAAGAACTCAATTATTTTTATTTTGTAAACATTATATTAATCATAACGTTTTCCGCATAAGTTTCCTACATATTTTCTAATTAAAAGATGTAGAGATAATTAATTGTAAATCAAACGATATCGTCGACAGCTTATTAAACGTCAGGGAAGTGAACGTTTTGCTCTCCTGCCAAATTAGTCGGTCGGAATAAAAAAGGAGAGGAAAAAAGGGCGGCACTTACGTCTTGGAATGATGAATAAATCACGGGCGCAGATAATTCGCGGCACCAAGGGGGCAAGAAGATAGAGGGCAGTTGATGGGTAGCTCGAAGACAAACAACGAGACACAACGGCTGATGGCGATGCTTAATTGCTTACCTCACCCTCCGGACTAAGGCCTCCCTCCGCCTATTTCATTTCTCGGTTTCTCTCTCGTGCGCCTCGAGGATATTTTAAAACAAACTTCGAGGTACGCACCCTTTATCATATTATTATAAACGAACACTCTGCACGATTAATGGGCGCAAACACGTTCCCGCTAATAAGCATTTTCCATGTTCATATTAAGCATACGATTTTCTTTATATTTCGTATTTACCTCTGGTACTTCATTTTTTTTGCCGCAATTATAAATTTCGATGACGTTCGGGAAATCTTTCCAATATTTACAACGGGACTGACCTATGATTCGACTTATAATTTAAATTGTGTACAATAATTATTCATCTCTTTACTAATTAAATTTTACACGAGCATAGTCAATGTTACGTTGATTCATAATCTTGGAAATGACTGAAACAAAACGTTTCATATTCGGTCCGGCGCGCTTCTTTCTCTTCAAAAAGAATAGTGTTTCCGCTACCATAAACTACATAGTGGCATGAAAAAATATTTGTTGTCGCTTGCGTTGTGATATTTTTGAAAAGGAATATCAGAGTGCTTATTGGATCGTAGGCGCCGGGATAACACTGCGGCTGGATAGCAAAAGTGGTTCGCGCGACGTGTATTGTTATCGTAGCGATATAGAAGGGACTACCTGTTTACACAGACCGAGTATCAACCCTCTCGCTACAGCATCGAACTTCGGTCGGCCGCGAATTGCGCGTACACCGAAATTCAAAACCTCTTTTAAGATTAGACTTCCTCACGAAAGTGTCTTACGTTTCCGTTTCGTTTGTTCAATTAAGAGTTAAAACGATACTGGCGTCATTAAATTACAACGTTATATTTGCACCTGCACACAGCTCGGGTTCTACGCGAAATAAAAATGTACATATCCGTGTAAAAGGTACGAAAGATTTCTGCCGACAAATTTATCCATTGAGTAAATAACTCTGAGCGAAATAGTTATTTTCGTTGAAAAGAGAATAGCTTTTTTGCACGAAAGTCGTTAATTCGTAACTACTGCTTCTACCAATTTCTGGATTGGTTAATTATTAGGCGTTATTATTAGACGTTATTAGTGAAATTGTACATTAGTGATACATGCCTAATGAATAATCGATAGAACGATCGAGCGAAATTGAAAAAAACGTTTCAGCAATAACTAATTTATATTGCATTACTGATTGCTTTGAAGGCTAAATTGTTTCTTTTAGTGTAATGTAAGATGTCTTTCCCATTTTATCAAGAATTTCATATAATGTAAAATAAAACAATTAGAAATTTCACTTACGTTCTTTAAAGAAGAGAAATAACCGAATCGTTCCTGATTAGATGCATGATCGGAAGATGAATCCTGCAATTTAACGCGATATATTGTGAATGAAGCAATAAAAAGATTAATAAATGCAAAAGATGTAAAACTTAAAGTAACAAACTTTATATACTGCAAAATTATATATACAAGAACAAAAATGAATAATATATTGCTAAAAAATTGAAAATTGATTGATCATAACGTTGATCATAATGTCTTAAAATTTTAAAAAATATATTGATTTATTATATCTACATTTATAACAAATATAATAAATACAACAGATAAATTCTAAACAAAAAGTATTATAAAGTTGATCAATAAAAAATAGTTTTCTTTACCTTATCTTATGCATTTATAAATAATAAACAAAAACAAATAATAACAATATTCATTAGACATTCGTATAAATTCTTATTAAATAAGTGCTCACAAAATGCTAAAAAGAATAAACGCGCGAATGGAATTCACCTGATGGTGTTGCTGTTGTTGTTGCTGCATGTACAACGTGTGCTGCTGCATAAAGGATTGCAGTTGCGTGGGGCTGAGTATATGTTGCTGCAGCAATTGTTGCATCTGATGGAGGCCACTCGCCGAGCTGAGCATCATCTGCGAGGGGGTCTGCGACGGCGGTGCCCCTGGCGGGCCACCGGGTGGCGGGCCCTGGGAAGGATTCGGCGGTGAACCCCTCTGTGGGGCCTGCGGGCTCTGATGCGGGCTAGGTTGGGGCCCCGGTGCCCCTGAGCTGGGCTGTTGCGATTGCTGCGTGATGATTGGCTGCTTTTGCTGGGTCATGGGTGCTGGTGTCACTGCGTGCCCGGCGGGACTGAGCTTCCCATTGCTTTGGTACTCGATGCTGAGATCCTGCTGCTGCTGCTGCTGCTGTTGCTGCTGCTGTTGATCAGCAACGCCGCCGCCGCCGCCGGCCTCCGCTATACTGCCTCTGCCGGAGTCGCGATTGCGGGCCGTAGACAGGCGGTCCCTGTCGCGGCACTCGCGGTCCCGCGACGAGAAGACGCTGTCACGCGATTGCTGTTGCTGCTGCTTCAGGGCTGCAAACAGCGAAGTAGCCTGCAATATGAAAATGGAGATCGAGAGCTCGATCAAAGGCTGTTTGCGAGCTGCCTCAAGTGGAGAAATCGCAATGACGTCGCGCGTGAAACATTACCGAAAATCTTAAAAGCCCGAGCAGAATAGCTTACTTATAATTTTAAGATAATGTTTTATGCTTTAAAATCTTTGTTTTTAGTAACGCACAATACTATCTTGTGTCTCAAGTCTTACAAATATTGACACTTCGTGCATACGTTTAAGACGTGAGACACAAAACAGTATTGTGCGTTACTAAAAACAAAGATTTAAAGCATAAAACATTGTCTTGAAATTATACGTCAGCTATTCTCTGCGCGGACCCTAACTTGCCTGTCCGAAACATTCCGATGAAAATCGCGGCCGGTATTTACGTATAACGCGGCAAATTTCAAGATAAGAAGCGAGAGCCGAATGAGAAAGATAGCGCGCGACTTGGGGACGCATGAGGGAGCGAAAGAGCAGCTTCGGGCGGAATATTCATGATATAAATGCCACGTAATGTACATGCGTTAAACTCCTACCGTATTTTGAACAATATTGATCTTATCTAATGGTATTCGAGGCGCGCGGGCCAGCCTCGGCTGCTCCGTCATCATTGGCTGGCTCGAAGGAAAACTCGCTGTTGTCTGAATGACGTCGGTTCGAGTCTCCTCAGCTGTTTACACAGCGAGATTTGTTTTATTAAGTTCCATCATCAAGCAGATTGTCGAGTGTAAAGGCGGAACCGAGCTTCTCTCCTCTGCCCGCTTCCCGCGAGGGTCGAAACTTTCAAGCGCGTTCCAGGTGTCTCAATAAGTTCGTCGTTATTATTGTGTTATTGTATGATATATAATGGAACGGTATTAGAAATATTATATTCTCAGAGAAATTGATTGCTTTTTATCGCCGTAAGATGTATTTCGCTGTAGAAATAACCTTTGTCCGGAAAGAAAGTCCCGACAACATTGTTGCTAAAATTTAGTGTTTTTTTTTTTCGATAAACAGATACAAAATTCCGTTAAAAATTAAATCTATTATATTTAATATAATATATTTAAAATAATATATTTAATATATTTTAGCAAGCCATGGCATTTTCTGATCAAACTTTAAATACTTGAATTTTATTGCGCAATATGAAGTATTATAAAGTTTATCACAGAACAATAAAACTTAAAGAATTTATTTATAAAAAATATAACACAAAAGTGTATTTAATGTATTATTATTTGTATACATATTGCAATTGTGTTATTATTGCAATAAAATATTATTACAAAAAAAAAATTTTTTTACGAGAAATTTTCTAGATGCAGATTTCTATTGCTGTTATGTGTAATTTTTATCGGTCCATTAAGTAATTTAAGTTCTTTCTCACGAGATATTAAATGAGATATCACCTACCAATAACTTTATCAATACAAATATTTTACAGTACATATAAAAGTATAGTATCGCAAATTGCAAACTAAAATGAAACAGATGAGTAAGCCATTTGTATTATATATCGTTCTAAATCAACCGCTCGTTCATGTAAACATTTATGTTAAACATATATTATATCACGTACAATAACAAGCAAAATGTTGTACAAGACACGTTCAGCTAAAAATATTTCCAATTTGAGTGTCCGTTGGCCTTGCACTTCGTGCCTTCGTCGGGACCGAATTGCATAACAAACAATCATCACGCAACGAAGTAATTACCACAAACACACGTGTCTCGGGGACGCATCGCTTGTGCAAATATTTATCATCGCGAAGATCCATCGAGCAACAGAACAGCAAAACAGCGAGTGTCGAAGACGCAGCCCGTGTGCGTTTTCCGCGCGATGTGTTTATTCCGCGGGTATATGTATTCTTGCATTTTCTTTCTTTTTTTCTGCGTCTTTACACAGCGAAACTTTTGCCGAGCTTCCCATCATTAAAATATCAAATGATGCAAAATCGCTGACTCCGTCAATCGCCGTTCTAGTCGACGAAAACAATCGTGTGATCAACATGCACGGCATAAATATGCGTTTATAATGAAATGTTATTTACTGTATACCTCGTCATAAAAATCTCGCGTTAAAATGCAGTAAACTGCGGTTCCAATTACGACTGATGCGTGCAAAAAAAAATTAATCGCAAATTAATTCACAAGAAAGGATTTACGTAAAACTACTGCTTTTGTAGCAAACTATTTTGTTTATACGTTCAAGTAAGACATTTGATTTCGCACTATTCTATTGCTAATAATTAACAACGATTAAGATAAATGTACCAATGCCTGTCAGCAAACACGTACCTATGTCTGTGGACACCTTTATCATTTTGGTTCTTAAATAAGTATAACGCGAATTAACGTTTGGATACTATAACTAAAGTTTCAAAATACAAGAAAAATATTTTATCTCTGATTTTAATTCATTATAATTATTTAAAGACTAAAATGATAAAGGTGTCCAGATACAGGCACATGGCCACTGACTGTCCAGGCATTGGTACATTTTAACGCTTATGCAATCTAGCCGAATCTATATAGTCTTCCCGAATCCAGCATCCTGCCAGCAGCCGAAAACGTTTTTGCCGAGGCTAAATTTAAAATACGTTCGCCTTTACACACGGAGCTACGAAAATGATTGTCTCTCGAGCAAAAGGCCGTGTGTCTCTTGCAAATCCAGCATGCCGAGTCCTATGCTAATCTTATTTGTGTACGATTACGTATGTTTATAACATGCAAAGAAATTCCGCGGCGCGCGCGTTATCAGTGTTTAGTCAGGAGCGCCAGAGCGCGTGGCGTTTCAGGCTTGAAGTCTGCGAGAGCAGAGGAAAGAAAGGAAAGGGAATAGAAAACGGTGGAGTCGCGGAGGCGAAGGAAAACAGTAGTGAAAGCACTCACAGAATTTTGGCACGTGTGCCGCACGAGCTCGAGCACTTCCGAATTTGTTCTTTCCGTTACCGTGCAGTGACGAATCCCGCAGTCAACGTTTCCATTTTACGTAATCAAACAGCTCGATCTATTATTCATACTTGCGATTAGGTATAACGTGCGATAAACTCCATCCGATTACCATTACTAAACATGGCGGTTAGCACGCCGCCATGGCGGTTAGTGACGAAGCTTGGAATTTAAATTATCTGATATTGGCTTGTGAACAACACATGAATAAATATATAATATATAATGTCGTCGTTCGACTTGTAAAAATAAGAATATTATTTTTTCTAATTACAAACAATGTACTAAAATATGTATCAAGCAAATAAATATTCTAAGTCCCTTTACATCTATTTAAATACTTATGAAGAGCGTACGAGATATAGATTATACAACTGTTGCATAAATAGTCTGCAATTCCTATCGCTAAAGCGTAAGAAACCACGTTCAGATTGCGAGCGTTTGCCCGCGAAATTAAATGAAATGCGACGATCAACGAAGCTGTTTAATCCACTTCGGCTCATACTGGTTCCTCGCGAGAAGTCGACCTTTAATTTCTTAATTAATTCCGAGCCCCGTGTCTCTCTCTTAATGAAGAAACGAAGAATCTGAAACCTAAAACCGCGACAACGCGGAAGGGATAATGATTCTCTCGTTGCTCCGTCGCGAAAACGTAAGAGTTTCCAAGGGGGGAATCGGGCACGGAGGGCAAGGGGAAAAGACGATGAAGTTCGACGTGTGTACACGAGGAGGGAGGGGAGAAGGGGTAAAGGAAAAAGATATAAGAGTACGAAAGAATGAAAGTATAAGAGCCGACGCTGAAGAGCCATCGACTGCAGATAAGAGGGACTCCTAAGACTCTTTTAAGAAAAGGTTAAATAAAGGTCGGAGGCTGCGCTTGTTGTTGGCTGTTCAGATTCCTTCGACCCCCGCCCATCCCCTCTCGCGCGCCCTCGCTCACCCCCTCTCGCCCTCACCGGTACCACCGCGTAACCCCACTTATTTGAATCCCGGAGGCTTCTTCGAATTCAACCCCCTCGCGCGCGGGCTCTCATATCTTTTATATATTAGAATTTTCACCAACGTCTCCTCGCAAAAGCTCCGCTCTGTTTACTGTTTGGATTTATTCCTTTCGCTCCCCCCTGCCGCGGCAAACCTCCCTTACCGAAACTCCCGTGGTTGTATATGAGTTCCTTATGTACATCCTCGCCGTGATACTTTCGGTTCTCCACCGGTTGCCGAACTTTCTACTACGCTTCATCTGCGCTAGCATGAGGGTCTGCCAATATTTAAAAGTTTAAGCAAGTCCCTGACTCATCACTATTTTTTGCCAAATATTTAACAAATCAATTTTTATAAATGTATTATATGAACCGTAAACGGCTCTTTATATAATCCACAAAATTCATTCTGTTTTCAACCGCGCAACTTTCCAAACGGAAAATGGAAAATTAAAGGAATATTTCATATAAAAATGTGTTATATGTGATAAAATAAAATTATCTTCGAGAACATTAGAGTAAAATATTTAGAACTACCTATCAGCCTAATTGCAATAATCGCTTTAGTAATCTGCGTTTAGAGGAGAAGTTTCGAGATCTAACGAGAACTAGAAGTCGCACACTCGCCATACAAAATCAAAAATCGAATATAATCACCTAATAACGCAATTGTCACGATTTAATAACGAACGATCAACGCCAATCGTTTTGTAATTGCTCGCTAGGCGGAAAAAAAGGAGGATATCGATATCAGCCGATAGACAGGAATGAATACAAAACGGGGCATCGAAATTTCTGTTGTGTGTAGGCGATTGTTCGATATAGCCGGCGAACCTCGGCCGTGTGTTTCAAACCGGTGGGATATCGTTAGATTTTAAACTCGTTACAGGCACGCTGTCAGGAGTGTTTATTCAGCGCGCTTTTCTGCATGTCGACGATGCGTGGACTAAACTACGTGCGTGTCGAGTCTCGTTCTGGTGCTGCTTCGTGTGTGCGGTGCGGACTCGCACGTGTTACGGATACTTTTGCATTGAGGGGAGGGGGGGAAAAAGCGAACGAAAAGAGTCGGACGTTTAA